CAGAGGCCATCATCAGGACTGCGTGTGCATTTTCTGTCATGAAAACTGTGTTTACAACCTGTCTCTTAAGTTTTATGCTTTAAACTGTTGTTAATTATACTTTGTGGTTTTATTGCTTGCAATTGTGCTTTTTTAAAAGCACTGTTTGTGAGCTGCTATGTTACTTTTGCAGAAAGGTGAGGTACAATTGTTAGTAATAGATAAAAACCTCCATTATTTGCTGCCCAAAATGTAACTAGAGTGTTTCTTAAAATATCAGTTTTCTTACTCCAAGTATGAATAGATCAATTATGTAAAAATCATATGAACTGTGTACCTCCGTATGTTTAATATAAAGTAAGATATGCTACTATCCACAAGCAAAGTTATGCATAGGCTTTAGTTTAAATGCAGACTAAATATTCAACCATTTATCCATTTGTAGGTAATGCCTGAAGACCACCTAATCTAAAGATAAAAGCTTTGTTTTCAATCTATCACTTTATCAGAGGAGACTTTATGTACTTCCATTTTTTGTTTTTAATTGATTTAACAATATTCATAATAAAACTTGATCTTTGGGGGATGACCCTTCATTTTAGACGTACTTGCATTTAGGAAGCCCACTTTCATCAATATAGCAAGTTCCTCCATGCATACAACGACAGGCCGGTGGCATAGCAGGGGGAGGTTCAATTGCTAGAAATAAGCACATACGTTAATCATCCAAAACTACCCAGCAAAACATTAACTATTTTAATAATCTCCAGTTATCCTGTGGATGAACTTTTAATGCAATTATAATTCAAGTTGTGGTATCTACAAATTTTGTGAGTTCTCAGTTTTTTAAAAATGTCCAAAACTGTACAAATTTGGGGAAATTGCATAAAACATGCACACATTAAGTGAAACGGAGTATAAAAGGTCACCTATCAAACAAAAGAGAATGTTAAGAGAAATCACTGCAAAAACATATATTTTCACGTAGACAAAAGGTTAGCAAACTGACATGGAAATGGGATGATACTTTTCCACTTAAATTGAAAAACAATAGAAACTGAAACAGATTCATCCAACCCATAATGTGTGTGTGTGTGTGTGTGTGTGTGTGTAAATGTTCAATGCATATTGGAGTACAACCCCCATCTCAGGTCATTGCTGAATGCAAGCTGGATCGAGGCCATGGCAAAAACCATATACATCAACAAACAAGATTAATAGTCTACATTCATTATCTACAAAGTCTGGGGATCAGGAAAGCCATTTTCCTAAATTGCTTATTGTTTACTTCCGTGCGTGCAATGCCATGCTCTTGGTAAAAGTAGGTTGCTTACCTGTAACTGATGTTCTTCGAGTGGCCATCTGTGCAGTCACAGATATAGGTGCTGCGCCTGCGCAGTGCCTAGGCCGGAAAGATTGAAAGCTAATGGTTTTGGTGGGAAAACTCCACTCCCTCTCCCCTCGGTAGTATATATAGAGCAGAGTGGCCGCCATTTTCTCCAGTCTTTGGAGACCATACATTCGCCACCTCATAGAGGAAGATGGCATAGCAACCTAGGATGTACCAACTCAATTCCTTTCGGTACCAATGTTACACGTATGAGGTACCAAAGCAGTATTATACAGTACCGACAATGAAACCACTCACTGACACCGAGCGGGGCCGGCGGGTGGGTTGTGTGACTGCACAGATGGCCACTTGAAGAACATCAGTTACAGGTAAGCAACCTGCTTTTCTTTGTCGTGGCCTCTGTGCATCACACATATGGGTGAATAGCAAGCTTACCAGAAACGATGGCGGGAGGTGTCGCTATTGAAGGACGGCAGAAAGAACAGCCCTCCCGAATGAGTAGTCTCTTCTGGCACGCACATCAAGGCGATAGTGCTTCACAAAAGTACAAGGTGTAGCCCAAGTTGCTGCCTTACAGACATCCTGGATCGGGATACCCACAGCGAATGCGGAGGAAGCTGAAACTGCTCTAGTGGAATGGCCTCTTGGAACGACAGGTAAGTCCAGCTTTGAGAGTTGGTACACCAACGAAATGGTTTGAACAATCCATTTCGACAGCCTCTGAGATGAAACAGGCGATCCTTGGTCTCGCTCAGAATACTTTACAAAAAGCTTATTGGAACGTCAAACAGATTCCGTGCGCGATCTATAAAAAGCTAGGCATTGTCTAAATCTAAGGTGTGCAAGGACCTCTCGACTGGGTTCGAAGGCGATGGAAAAAAGGCAGGCAACACAATTTCTTGGTTCAAGTGAAATGGTGTGACAACTTTAGGCAAAAAAGTAGGGTCCATCCTCAGGACCACCTTTTCCTTATACAAGTTTATATAAGGTGGATCGATTCGAAAAGCACAAAGTTCACTGGCTCTACGAGCTGAAGTAACTGCAACTAAAAAAGCCATTTTCCATGAAACAAGGCGTAAATCGACAGTGGCTAACGGTTCGAACGGTGGTTTTGTAAGCACCTGCAGGACAACCGAGAGACTCCACATCGGCATAAATGGCCAAATAGATGGGTGGAGATTCTGCAGGCCTTTAAGAAATTTCCGAATAAGCAGCTGTGAAAACACCAACAGCCCTTGTACTACACGATAATGTGAAACTGCAGCTGCATAAACCTTAATTGAGGAGGGTTTCAGTCCCAAGCGAAGCAGGAGCAGCAAAAACTGAAGAATGTTCTCAACCGACACCGTAAGTGGGTTAAACGAGCTAGATTGCGTGAAGGATGAAAAACGACGCCACCACTGCGTAGAACTTTCGGTTGGACAGTCTTAGTGCAGACTCGAGAATCCTTACAAACTCCAGATCCAAAGAGTTTGGTCCCAACAATATTCCCATCGGTACCGAGTCAGTGAGGGGGTCCAACCAATCATGAGTTGAGGCACCTAGTGATCTAGTAGATCTCTGTTCCGAAACAGTCCCTTGAGCCAATGAACCCTCCACGCAGTGAGGTTCAATGATGACAGGTCCGGGTGACGGACGGGCCTGTTCTGTTGGGTTAGCAAATCTTGCATGAGCGGAAGGCAAAGGAAATTGCCCTTCGAGATCCGAAGGAGGGTGGAGAACCACGCTTGATGAGGCCACCAAGGTGCTATGAGTATTCCCGTGGCATCGTTGTGCACGATCTTTGAGACAACTTTGGTCCGCAGAGGAATAGGTGGGAATGCATAGAACCTGAGGTTTGTCCATGTAATCATGAGGGTATCTCCCATCAATCCCGGTCCTATTCCCACCCTGAAGCAGAACCTTTTGCACACCTTGTTTCTGTGGGTGGCAAAAAGATCTATGTCCGAATATCCCCACAGTTGGAACAACTGGGCGCAAACTTGGTGGTTTAGTTCCCATTCGTGGGTGATCAACATATGTCTGCTCAAGGAGTCTGCCTCTTCGTTGTTGGTCCTGGCCAGATGGACCGTCAAAAGGGTTACGCCTCTTGGGATACACCACTCCCAAATGTCCATGGACAGGCGGATCAGGGCGGTGGATTTTGTGCTGCCCTGTTTGTTGATATAGAATACCGCCACTATGCTGTCTGATGTGAGCTGTATCACTCGTTGGTGAAGAACGGTTTCGAAGGACCATAGCGCTTTGAAAATCGCTAACAGCTCGAGGTAATTTATGTGGCTCACCGATTCCTGGCAGTTCCACATGCCTTGGGATCGAAGCCCTGCGCATACTGCGCCCCACCTGACCAATGAAGCGTCGGTGTATAGAGCCCTCGTCGGATGAGGGGTAATGAATGGGGTCCCTACATTCAGATTGGGTGGGGACACCCACCAAGTCAATATCTGCAAAACAGCGCGGGGTACACGAAGACGTTTGTTCGGTGAATCTCTTTGTGGACTAAAGTTCTTGTTGAACCAGAGTTGGACGAAACTTCAACCTGGCATGTGGGACAATGGCAACTGTGGCTGCCATGTGACCCAAAAGTCGTTGTATGGAAAGCTCTGTGACTATGCGGTCTCATCAAATCCAAGAGATGCAGGCACGGAGGCTGTCTTGACGAGCTTGGGGGAGGAAAGCCCTTGCCACCGTAGATTCGAGACGAGCTCCGATGAAGTCTGTCACTTGTGTAGGAACAAGGGATGATTTTTCACTGTTAATACAAAGTCCAAGGTTGTCCAATAATGTACAAACAGCATGAACAGCTGAGAGTAGGGTTTCACGGATCTGTGACACTATAAGCCAGTCATCCAGGTAAGGGTAGACTTGGATGCCGTGAAGTCGGAGATGAGCACAGACTGGAGCCATACATTTCATGAAGACCCTCGGAGCCGTGGCCAAGCCAAATGGAAGGACATTAAACTCGTAAATGTCAGTTCCGACAGTGAAACGCAGAAGACGCCTATGACTTTGGTGAATCGAAATATGGAAATAAGCATCCTTTAAGTCAAGGGAGGCGAACCAATCCTCTCTCCTCAGCAGCGGAAGAATATTTTGGAGGGTAGTCATCTGAAATTTCTTTGGTTTGATAAATCTGTTGATATTCCGGAGGTCCAAGATCGGACGAAGACCACCGTCTCGTTTTGGAACCGTAAAATATCTAGAGTAGAATCCATGCAGTCCCTCAGAACTGGAGACCTGTCGAATCACTCCCTTATGAAGCAGTTGTCGCACTTCGCTCAGTAACACCGGGGAGCACGGTGTAAATCAAATCGGGCTCGACGGAGGAACGGTATCGAATTCTATTCTGTATCTGAGCTGGATAATTGAAAAGACCCACCGATCAGATTTAATGGACTCCCAAATGGGGAGTCAGCCTTGTAGCCGTTCCCCAAAAGGGAGCGGGAAGGGTGGATATGGAGGTGGAGGAGAGGTTCGCACGTCCTATCAGCGTTGACACTTCTCGGTATCGAAACGCCAACAATTTTGTGGAAAACGCTGATGAGGTTGTTGCCTTCTGCGTTGTGGCCTCTGTTGGTACTGTCGCTGCGGCGGCTGATAGTGGTAGGATGGGCGTGACCATGACCACTTATGTTTGTTTTGTCCAGGCAGTTCCATGCATCTAGCCGTCATCCAGGATTCATGGATTGACTTTAACTTGTGATCGGTGTGGGAGTGAAAAAGCCCGGAGCCGTCAAAAGGCATTTCCTCTATTTGCCGCTTCATTTCATCGGGGAAGTTGCAGTTTTGCAACCAGGCATGCCTTCTCAGTGAGACAGCCCCCACAAGCGCTCTCGAGTCTGTACCCACATGGTAGCGTGCTGTGGATAACTATTGAATAGCGACTTGCATCCCCTCTTTAATGAAGGTTCTAGCAAGGTCCCTTTGTTGCTCAGGCAGGGGAGCAACAATATTATTCAGCCTCTGCATAATAAAGAATTGATACCTAGTGAGGGTGGTTTCATAGTTGAACATCCGAAGCCCGAGTCCTGCAGCTGCATAGACCCTGCGCGCCAGGGTATCAATCTTGCGCCCCTCCTTATCTCTGGGGGTGGTATGGCCTCTAGCTTCCCTGCCCTGAGATGATTCGACCACCACAGAGTTTGGCTTAGGGTGGTGAAGCAGAAAGGGAATATCACTCTCTTGGACCCAGTACATGGACTCGTATCGTCTCACCATAGGTTGAGTTTGAGTCCCAGGGTTCTGTCATCGCCTGCCGCAGAGTTGTAATAAGCGGCAGGACGATTGCTGGTGATTGTTCTCCCCAGACAATGTCGTAGAACTTGTCGGTGCTCGGATCTGGCTGATGTTGTGCCTCGATCTCGAGTGACCGAACAAGTCTAGACATAAGCTCCCCGAATGAAATGTGGGGTTCTTCAGGTGATGACGGACCTTGCAATGTAATCATGCCATCTGGGGAGGCAGAGTCAGCATCCGAGTCTGAGTCAGATCCGCGATGGTATGGTTCCAATGAGGAGGTCCCTGGAGAAGCGGAACGCTCGGGTTCTACATGCCGGGAAGTAGACAGCAGATCCTCATGAATGGAAGGCAAAGAGCAATCCCTCAGGTGAGGACGAAATCCAAAAGAATGGTAGTCCTCCCAACCCCTCGGGTAGGGTCAGAACCATCCTTCTTCCCGTCTCTTGTCCATTCGGGGCTGAGGTGGTGGTGATGGAGATCGGTCTCTAGGTCTCGCTGTAGGCTGGTTCTCCCTATTCTTTCGTGCTTGCTTAGTGAAAGCAAGGCAATGACGGCATTTATCAGTCCTGTGCCCCTCGCCAAGGCAAAGGAGGCACAAGTTATGTGGGTCCGCTGGAGACATTTTGGACCCACATTCTGCACATTTGTGGATGGCTGCTCGCTGCGCCATCGCAGAAAAGGAAGAAATAGAATATAGAAAAGAGGGAAAAGTTATATATAGGAACAAGGGAAAAAGAAGATATAAACTGGAAGAAGGAAATAATAACTTGGAATAAGAGTAATAAGATAAACGGTAAGTAATGAACAATATTGAGTCAAGTGAGAGACAAACAGGCACGAGGCACAGCGAACGGCGGTCTACAAAGACTGGAGAAAATGGCGAACGCTCCGCTCTATATATACTACCGAGGGGAGGGGGAGCAGAGTTTTTCCGCCAAAACCGTTAGCTTTCAATCTTTCCGGCCTAGGCACTGCGCAGGCGCAGCACCCATATGTATGATGCACAGAGGCCACGACGAAGAACTGATACTTGCAGACCACAAGAGTGAATGTTCAGAGCAATCTCTGACAGTGCATCCAGACTATAGGGTGCACACAGCCAAATCATACACAGGAAGAGAGAGCTGAAATTTAAAGTCCCCGATCAAAATGGTTCTCTAATTCAGTTTATGAGTTAAGTGCAAACCCTGTCATTTCAGAAACAACTTTTAATTCAATAATGAATTAAATGAACCATTTGAATAAAAAGAAATTCTGAACTAATATTTTATAAGCCATGCAGGAAATACAATTCTTTGTACTTCATTAGCTGGAGGAAATGATATATCCACCCAGGGGAAAGCACAGTCATTTATGAAGGCACTTTATGACACCTAAAAGTGTTTGATTAATATACAAAACCATATTCTTAACTGGATTTGTGAATAATGTCATCCTACTGCTATTGTTGCTGTTATTTATTGTTTTTATTCCACTTTTTCCTGAAAAGAACTCAAGATGACTTACATAAACTTCCATTTCATCCTCACAACAACCTGCAAGGTAGGTTAGGCTGAGAGCCAAAATCATCAAGTGAGGTTTGTAGCAGGTGGGGACTAGAACCTGGATTCCCCAAGCCCCAGACCAACACTCTATGACTGTCAATCCTCATGCTGTCCTGAGTCACTGCAAGAAAAACACGTGTACTCCGAGACCTCCCTGAGAAGTTCTACCACCGCCTTTACCTGCATCACACTCTGTTGAGCTGCCTTCTATAAAACGAGCCCCTTGTGGGCAAGCACAGGTATATCCTCCAGGTCTCAGCAAACAAAGGTGGCTGCAGACATCTTTGCATGGATTGGATACTATAACAATAAACGGAGAAGCAGCTGAACATATTTATATGAACTAATGTAATCTGTGTCTATAAACAAGAGATAAAACTTGGAAGCAAGTGGCAATATTAACCTACAGACTCAGTGCTGATGTAGCACTGTTTAAATGCCTAACCATCTTTAGACAATCTGGAGCATTCCATGGCCTGGCATGCTACATTCCCCACATCTCTTCTTCCCTCTCACACAGGCATTCCCTTTCCCCTCCCAGTTATGGAAAAATGGTCAGTTAGCACAGTTAGTGCCAAACAATAGTTTGCAACCATGACTGGAAATAGTTTTCCACTGGTGCACGCCTCTTTGCATAATTAATTCCAGTACTCAAAGAAATGCAATGGATAAATCTGAACAAAAGAAATATCAATATAAATCACAAATTAGTCAACAATATATGCAAACAGCAGGAAAACAAAAAACTCTTATTTTACGTCCCAGAGGCATAGGACTGCAGTGCAGCAGTATTCTGCAACTGTGTTTTTACCAGAGAATTCCCAAGCAAACCATCATTCTTAAATATGATTCACTTTGGTATATCTATTATATGATTGGCCATATCTTACAGTCTAATGTATGAACTGACTCTATAGAAAAGTACTATGCCCAAGGTGATGAGAGAGGTACATGATTTCTAGCTGGCTTTCTGATCCTATGTGGCTGATTTGCACATCCAAGCATATGCTACCAACTGAAGTGTCATCCTCAAACAACTAACAATGCAAAGCCCTGATTCCCTGGAGGTGTTGGGAGATGCTTTTAAAAGCATGATATATTCCTTGGGTAAGAAACCAGGACACTGAAGGATGACTAAGAAGGCATCGCCTTTCTCATAGCAAAGCCTGTGTGTGTGTGTGGGGGGGGGGGGGGTGGAAGAGGTTGCTGGGGCCAAGGAAAAGAAAGCAAGTTCTGAATCACAACAGCAACATTCTGAGTTGAGAAATCTCATGGTACCTTGCTGTTTGGTCCAAGGGATAACCAGATGGAGAACAAAGAAAGAATATTCTGGGCCTATTTCAGGGCTTGCTATTTTGACCAACGCCTTTCTCAACTCTTTGAAAATGCTGTTTGTAATTTTCCCCATCATGTTTTTGGAGTAAAAGGAAGCAGATTGTGCACAGTGGTACAAGGAAACAGGAAAGAAAGGAAACCAGAGCTTATTGCTAAACTACAAAGGAAGGTAGAATTGTTTGTCAATCTTTATTAGGTATCTAACTTAATAAGGGCGCCTGCCAACCTCAGTTCTATTCTTTTAGAAGCAGTTATACACGGAGAGATCTGCTCATTAGCAGGCAAATTTCTTTAAAGATACTGTTGCTTGTTTTGTATAGTAATGATCCATAGATAATGAAGTACCCACAACTGGGCATTACCTGACTGATGGCATCTGTGTTGGTGATAGATACGGACTTGAGTAAGCCAGGGGTTTATTGTCAGCACTTTGACTTTCTCTCCCTTCCCAAATTTGTCTTCCTTCCAGACTTCCCCTCTTTCCTTTGATGTCCAATAAAGATGGCCTTCAAAGACATCAAGGCTGTATGGGCTGCTAACTGAAATAAAACAGCAGCTACATTAACATACAAAGCTCTGCAACATTGCTGGTGTAGTTATGAACAAAATCACTTTTTCATACATGTTTACAAAATCAAAATAAAACATACTTTGGAAGCAAAATATCAGAAACATGTAAGAATTTCACAAACAAAACACAGACCTAGTTCATACTGGGATGTCCATTGCTTCTGCTTTCCTAAATAACCCAGCAACATTCCTGATTGTTATCATAATGTACAGACCCATAAACCCTGGGTTGTTTAGGTGTTAAACAACCCACAAGTAACCCAACGACAATCCATTATTAACTCTGGGTTCTTTAATTCCAGAAATCTCAGTGTTTCTGAGTACAGATGCAACAATAACAACTCAAGAACAAACGCGTTCCTGGATTAAGAAAAGCAGAAGGGCTGGCCACATGGGAATCAGCTTGCTCCCACGTGCACAAACAGCCTGTGGTGTAATAACCATGGTTTACTATCATGTAAATTGGTTCAAACACTCTTTGAACAAGCCTGAACAAGCCTTAGCTTTTACCCCAACTCAGGGGTAATACGGATTTCATGCTACTTGCCAAATGTTTACTGCTTACATTTGCATTTACAAAAGAAAAGTCTGATAACATGAGCCCTTGTCCCATATGGCATCCATAGCAAAACAACTTGATCTGCCACTATAACCATCACCTGAAAAGAGTCCAGGCATCTTAGGAAATACTTGGGAAAAAATGCTTCAGTCCCTCTTAATGTTCATACCTCCATGCAAAACGATCTTTCTATCAGTTCCATCAAATTTCATAGATTCGATCAGGTTTTCCTTCTGATCACTCCAATAGACTCTGTCATTGTTTAAATAATCAATAGACAGGCCAGTTGGCCAACCAAGGTCCTCAGAGACCAATGTCTGTCTCTGCTGTCCATCCATCCAGGCACTTTCAATTTTGGGTTCCCTTCCCCAGTCAGTCCAATACATCAGCCTAAGGAAAGCAGAACCAGTATTCATAAAGGTCTGGTATGGCATATTAAAGCACATAAAAGTTGTTCTGGGGAACAGAGGAGAGAAATCTGCACCAAGGGAGAATCGAGTTGGTGGGGACTTCCTGCCTTGGCAGTACCTCACAGCTGGATCAGCCAGGGGCTAGGCCCTGAGAGCCCTTCCAACGGGATGTTTCTATGGCTTTCCGGACTCTCCCTTTATGAAGCACATCCCTTTTATCCCATAGCACTCTGCTGTCATACTTACGCTAGTCACACAATCTGGTATTATCCATTCTACATTTTGTATGGTGCGTATTGCCCTGATTCTTATGTACTCGATGCATTCCACTGATAAATTATGTTTTATCTATTTTCTCTAACCTTGTGAGATAAATTTATGTGAAATATAATGATCAAAGATGGTGATCTTCAGGGCAAAGCAAGCATTTGTACTTGCATCTTTATGTCTAAACAAATCCCCTCTACTACTGTAGTGTAAACATACTGTGAATTTCTTAGAAGCTCTTTCAAAAACAAATCATTTTATGTTAAACTATTTATTACATGGCAATATTTTACTTGCATTATATTAATAAAATCCCCTTTAATATTATACTAAAACTCCTACTTCAAAATGATGTCAAAACTACTAGGTATCACTTCTAGAGGCCCTTACAAAACCCTGAAAGCTAACCCATCAGAGGGTTAGGCTCACCCAAATGCTCACCCAAGTTTGGGGTTGACAGCTATAGCTGCTGGTTGATCCAGCAGAGAATAGATGAGCCACTTCCGGTATCTTCCATCCAGCTTTGCCACTTCTACTCGATTTGTCCCAGAGTCCGTCCAGTAAAGGTGCCTAGTTCAGATGCAATTAAATGATTTTTTAAAAATAATCACTCTGTTTGGTCAACATCAACTACTAGGTACAAGAAAGGTTGTTTTTTAATTGACAACCAGTAGTCAATTGCTAAGATTTAATGGCCAGATTCAACTGTAATAACAATTCAGAATCGCCAGGAATTTCAGCATTTTTATCCTAGGAATAGTGGGAGTCAGGGTACTTCTGGAAAAGGCTTTTATTGTACAACAGCCCTGCCTTGCTCACAGAATATTACTAATCTGTATGTCTATCTGAACCCTTCTCCTGTTTTTCTGCTGCTCCTTCCATCTTTTTCTAACCACAGAGACTCTATTAAGGAAAGAACTACCAAACAGCTGCACAACGACTTTAGACCAATACTGCTAGGAGCCCCCTCCTGAAACACCTGCAGTGCTACAGACAGTGTTTACTGCCCTTAGAGCCTATGTCAATAAATCTATCCTTTCAACAGTTAATAAGGAACTGATACTGGATCTTATGGATAGAAAGCAGTGCCCAAAGGGCATTTTTCCTTGTGTATAATATATTCATTTTATTTATTAGATTTATATCCCATTTTTTTTCTTACAAAGAACTCAAAAACAGCTTACATAATTCTCCTCCTCCTGATCTCAATCTTACCACATGAGGTAGGTTTGGCTGAGAGTCTGTGACTGGCCCATAGTCACCCCACTGACTCCATGGCTGAGCAGGGACTAGAACCCAGTCCTCCTGAGTCCCAGCCTCATGCTTTTAACCATCACACCACATGGGCCAGAAATGTAAATTTTTTTAAAAGGGTAGCTTAGAGATGATAAAGGATTTCAATCAATCTTCCTTTTTTTTTTTTTTTCAAAATGGAGACACAATAGCCAACTTTTGGAAATCTAGATACAAGCTTGTGGGGCAGAAAAGACACTACTGTAGGTTTGTGCCAGACATGAGGAAATGGCCTGTTACTCCCACATCAAACCATCTCAGCCTAAGCAAAGCTAGAACATCAGAAATAAGACATTACAGTCCCAACGCAGATAGACTGAGACATACACGTCTTGAACAAGCTCTGGATTTTTTGACAATATGTTGTTCTACAGTCCTTTTTTCCCGTATTCAGACATAAGCAACATGTTTCAGGCTGTCCTATCCTGCATTCGTGCTTACCTCCCAACCCAGTCCACAGCTAAACCAACAGGACTGACGAGGTATCTCAGATTCAGGTCAACTTCCTTCACAGGATTATTTCCGCTGCTTTCAAATACGGGCAGGTAGGCACGTTTGATGGAGCCAAACTCTGAACCACGCCCCAGAATGCTGTAGTATATGACACCTGCAGAAAGTTCAGAGATTCCTTTCATTGTGCTCTCACTGGAAATCTTCACTGATCGCTTGCACAGTTCTGGGCCCTGAGACTCCAGGGCCACTCAATGGTTCTTGTCAAAGAAGTAAAATCTCAGCAAAATTTCTTCAAATTCCAAGCCTTTATTATGCCCATTTTATATACGGGGAAGTGAAGCTAAGAGACAGTAACATGCCCAAGACCCATTGAGAAAATGCATCATAGAAATGGGACTTGCTCACACACTTTTTCTTGCAGCCAAATCCAGAGAGAAGCTTCCTTTCAAATACTTAGTTAAGAATAAGCTGTTAAAGAATAAGCTATTACTTACTAAGCCCTATTCCCTCAGGGTCCCAATCATAGTCTATGGCTTGGATGTGCTCCTCATTTTCAATGTAGTCAGAGTATTGCTCAGATGACATATTGTACTTTCGAATACGGACATTGTCAGGCAGAAGTAAGATTGGTGGATTTCCTGCAAAAAAAGTAATATGACTATTTTTGTCAGGTTCTACAATTCTGTGCATCAACAAAGGAAGACAAAAGAAGTAAGGTGAAAAACACAACTATTTGAAGTTTGTATTTGCTTTGGAGAATTTTATGCATCTCAACTTATAAAATTTAGGTGCTGTTCCTGAAAATATTTATTACAAAATGTGTAATCACTTTAACATTCTTGCTATCCCTACCTATACCTATTATAAGTAGGAACATAAAATACTTATTTGGTATTGATTTTAGTATGCCTTTGGATTAAGGGTCTCTTGGACCATGATCCAAAGCACTATTTTCTATGAACCCAATTACTTTTTACTTTTTCTCCTTGACTCTGACAATATCAACAACTTCTGAAACTCGTCTCAGTTACCATATAGCATGAAGAATGGGTATTTGCAAAACAGAAGCCCCAAATCACTTTGTGTATGAAGAATTAGTCATAGGATTCTTTGAATCCTTGCTCTGGACTGCAAATATTGCCATCTTGGGATTCCTTACACATTTTAATCATGCAGTGTTTGAATACTCTTCATAATATCTTGTCACTGTGGATGCAGCTTGTCCAGATGTCCTTTGAGAGATTGTCTTTATCATTAATAATATAGAGCAGTGGTTCACAACCTCTCCTTTACCACAGACCCCCTTTAAATACCTTTTGTGGCTGCAGACCACCAAGACTTAACTCAAGATTTAAAGCACTAGACTGCATCAAATATTTATTTCAATTAGCTTATGAAGGGCCTTCAAATTTGGAAAGAAGGGGAAATAAGTTAATCTGTTTATGCACACACTCCTATTATAATTTCTTTATTGCAAAAATTCCATACAAATTTGAAATAATAGTATCAACACTCTTTTCGCTAAACTGAAATGCACCATCACAAAATCCACTGCAGTAATATCAAAAAACCACCTTAATGAACAATAACCAAATGGTTAGCAGAAATCTAAGAAGATTATGAAATCGGTCTGAACGCTCACTCATATTGACGAGGACTGACTCTGCTTTCCCTGCCCCGCGGTCTCTGACTATCTGTGCAGTAACAAGAAACGTCATGTGCTTTCTCTCTGCCACTCAGAGTCATTCACTTGCATGTTCTCAGCCTGTGCAGAAATACCAAGTGCAGCTATATGCCATCAGACAGTTACTCTCATACCTGATTTATACCTCTGATTGTTTTTAATTGAGGCAATAAGTTAAAAAAGCCAAGTTTTACAAAACAATCGAGAACAATTAAGATTTTGTTCTATTTCCCATTACCTCTTGCTTTCATTGATTCCTTCATTTGTTCATTCAGTTTTAACTGCCAAAAAAATAACATTTCTTCAAGCCTTTGTGGACCCCCTGGGACAACACTGTGGCCCCCCAGGGGTCCGTGGACCACAGGTTGAGAACCACTGATATAGAGAACTGTTTTTACTGAGTCTTAGATGAGCACGTTATAAGTTTGAAAAGTTAGCCTTTCAGAAACAACAAGCGTGTTGATAAGTTTTATTTTTTTATTTATTATATTTGTGAGGAAAGCCTCAATAAAGCAAAGTTATTTTAATCTCATTTAAAACACACAGCATGATCCAGAATAGCTTGTTATATGTGTTAATTTTTTCCATCAGGCCAATGAGCCTTTTGTTTCCTCTGCTTTTCATTGTTTGTTGCAAGTTTCTGCCCTTTCAAAATTATCATGCACAAGAGTTATGGGCATTACTGAAGAATGTTTGTGGTTCTCTCCTGTGATAGAGGCACCCAATCAATGCTGTAAAAGGGGTATACTCAGGCCTATTTATCTTCACAAGTCCATGAGAGATAAATGACAATCTGTCAGCAAAGTGTCTTTGATTTATATCAATATAATCTGTCCTTAGAGAAACGACTACAGCTAATTTTCTCCTGTTGACAACCAACTATAGCATGAACAGCCTTCTTGTTTTCAAAAATTTGGAAGGGTCAGGAGTGGAGTAGGACAGCTTAATGAGCTGTAAAGTGTGGCTTGTTTTGCCTTATTTTGTCTTTCAGATGCAGCAGAGAAAGGATTTTACTGAGCCTTACAACTACAATTCCACACAAGTGAACTGGAAAAATGCATGCAAAAGACACAGATATCAGAATACAGCACTCGGGCCAAGATCAGAAGAAAGGCTTGTTTCAGAAGCAAGTTTATGGTGCATAGTTTGAATTTACTTCTAATGGAAGTGCTGGCTGAACTTACCAATGGCTGCACACTGCTTTCCCTGCTGATCCCCAACAGATCTAAATCCCTCTGCACAGAAGCATTCATAACTTCCTTTGGAGTTTTTACAAGTCTGGGGGCAAGTTCCGAAGATCTCACATTCATTGATGTCTGAAAATAAAGAGAGATAAATTTGAGTGTTTCTGGTTTGTTTAGCTATTTTTTTCTTGCCTAGGATAAGCCAAGAAGAGGAAGCAAACAGCTCATTCACAGTACACCAGAATCCATCAGAACCATGACTTAATATTTAGCACGAATTTACTACATTGTGAACTTAGAACAAGATCCCTGTTTTGCTTTGTGTACATTGCTTAACACCACAATATCATGCAACTTTTTTTAGAATAGTGCTAGTAGCCACTTCCTTTCTGCTCATTGTTCCTTGGATAAAATCCAATCTATTGTACAACAATGGGAAGAATCCAAGAGGGTGCTTTTACCCCACCAACTTTTTTCCACCCTGCAGATCTCCTTTTGTGACCACTCTGCAAGCAGAACCCACTACTTACATAAGGGAGATTTAGGGCTTCTTAGGGAAACCCACAATAAGCAGGAACTCTTGCTGCTGATAGGAAGCGGGTCAAGTTGAGCAGCCTTATGTAAGCTGTACCAACGTCCATCCTCCCAGAACCAGTGTTTCTACTCATTTTGGGTTTCCCCAGAAGCACTAAATTGACATTTAACAAGCAGTTGAACCACAGGTGCAATACATTTAGTGGTGTTGTAACCATCCCACTGGATTCTGCACCTTAGTCTGCCTGAGTTTTTATTGATTGTTGTTTTTATGGTTTTTTTATTATTTTATTTTGGGCTAGTGAATGAATCCAGCTCTGATCAGGCTGAAGCATGCTTCACTTTGATCCAGTGAATCCTTTAAGCAAAGTCATGCAACTGTCAGAATCAGATGCATTGTGTCTGCTCTGTCAGAGTGAGGCCAAAGGTCTGGGATTGTTAGGGAAGTTTGTCACCTGGCAACTGAAGATGATGATGCAGACGTCAAACACAGGAACATATTTAAATTAATTAGAATTAATATAGTTCAACAACTCAATAATCCGTCAGTGCACACCCTTCAGGTTCCCATAGTGTTCCTCCCAGGTTTTAGGTAACTAAGCTTTATAGTCTTGGGATTATGATGAAAATACAGATTCTCTTTTACCTTGAGCACACCTTGGCAGCCTTTTTTGCAAAAAGGAGGGTACAGAAATATTAAGAATAAAAATTATAAATAAATTCAGTAGTTGTTTTCTCAAAATAGAAATAAACCTTTGAATGTTAAATAGCTAGTCCATTGTAAATCATTCTATATTTATTTATTAAAAGATGTATATGTCGACTTTTATGGCAAAACCTTCCTTAAGTTCTCACAGATGGAGAGACGTAGAATGCAATGATCCAAAGAGCCATTCCCAAACTCGGTCATGTTCTGTGTGTTAACCCAATGGGGTAAATGACATCTGAATGTGGATGGTAATTAAAATCTAAAGCATGGGTCCTCAAACTATGGCCCCCAGGACGGATCCAGCCCGCCATGGCCATCCATCCAGCCCACACTGCTGCTCACTGCCCGGCTCACGCTGCTGCTTGCTGCGCAGGTGGGGAGGTGGTGGCTTGCTCGCTTGGGGATGGTCTCCGAGTGAGCAAGCTGCCACTGCCTGCCTCCTATATGCGCACGTTCGCCACTGCCTCGCAGTGCGGGCGGGGAGGTGGTGTCTTGATCGCTCGGAGATGGTTTTGGACTTGCTGGGAGATCTCTGAGCGAGCCACCGCCGCGCATGCCTGATGCCGCCTCACACGGGCCTGATGCCGCCTCACTGGCCCGTGCCCCCAGGCGCCCCCACCTCACCAGGCTGCGACGGTCACCGCAGCCTTTCAACTGGCTCCCTATTCAAAAAGTTTGAGGACCCCTGATCTAAAGTATTTCAGGAATGCACATCTAAAATGCTATGAATACTGTCCCTCATTTTAAGAGAACTCATTTTCATGAACAGAAATAGCAGAAAAATATATTTCAATAACACAATAAAAACTGCAAAATAATGTATCTGAGTTCCATTACTGAACATAGATAAGGCAGAAAATCATTTGAAAACAAAATGTACCATCACAGGAATTTCTGTTCAGCTCACTAGGACTGTATCCAGGCCGGCAGGTACATATAAAGGCTCCTTCGGTTAAGTTTGTGCAGTTGTGTTCACAGATATTTTCAGCACAGGTTCTCCCTGTTCCTGAATCTAAAACAATGAGAATCATTGATTTAAAGGGAAAAACAATGACTCACAGTATCTTTTACACTATTTCTCAATTCATATTTCATTTCCAGTACCCCTCTGTGCTTAGAAAAATAATCAGGCATTGTGGAGATATCTGTGCTTTGGTTTTTGTTTCCTGCTTATTTTATGTGCAGTCCCTAATTATTTTTTTCATTACTGTACACACACCAGCTATGTGTGTGCGCGTTTTAAGTAGTGAATGTTGTTGTTGAAATTGTTTACAAATTCAAATTGTTTACAAACCAACACTTAAAAATAAACAATCTTAAAGGCAATAGGGACACTCCTTCTAGCAAAGGAAAATTATATTGATAGCAGAGGGGTGCTAGCAGCATCTCTCTCCTCCTTGGAATCATAAAGCTTGTAGTGCTTTGAGGTACATCCTCCTTTGCATGAGGGCTACCATTTCCATCAGCAATAACGGAGCAGGACAGTGACAGGTGAGACCACAAAGGCAGAGAGAGTGACATGTGCATTACACATCAGATACAGAGGGTTGAGAAACTGGATTTCTGTTTCTGGAATTATTCTTTTTCAGAGGATGTCATGATAGCTGCATAATCATGATACTCAGGCACACAGAAAGCTCTCCTCTCATTGTAATTTTCCTCCCCATGATAAATTTACAATAAAATTTCAATACGACAACTATGGTGCTTACTGCAGCCCAGTTCATCGAAGTGATCTCCGCAGTCATCATAATTATCGCAAACATAATGTAGTGGGATGCAGTTTCCATTGCCACACTTGAATTCTTCAGTATCACAAGGTCTAGGGGTGGGTTCTCTGCCTGCATGAAGATGACACACACACTACTTAAGCAAGCATACAAATATTTTGACAGGAGTTACTTTAGACTTCACTATTCAAACTGTGTAGACCTTAAAGCAACTCAGTCAGCAGAGAAGGCCACTGTAGTAATATGTTGTGTATTAAAGACAGGAAGATGTTGCAGGGGCAAAAACCAAAGATGGTGAGTGGCGGCGGGGGGGGGGAGCATCCACACCTCCTGCACAAAGAGTTCCCTTTGGTGAGAAGGCTCTTCCCTCACTTTTGTCCTTGCAGCACTACCAAAGCTTTCCAGCCAGTCCTGGAGATGCTTACAAGAAGACTTCAAGATTGGGCTGGATTTGCTGCTTCAGCAGCTGGAGGTCTTACATTACATCAGGATTCCCAGAGTGTACCATCTTTGGCTGCCAAAGGTCCCATGATTCTTGGTTAACAAAGGCTCTGTTCAACTAGCAGAGCTTTCTCTCCTGGTCATGCAAAACATTAATTAGGTAGGGAAGCTAGCAGGCCTCCCCCAGTTCAGATTTAATCTGAGAGGAATTTGAGGCCTTGCAAAGCTTATTTTTCCTTTGAGTTTATCTGTAAATTCAGCTCATAGAACTATTCTGGCACAACTACAAGTAACTTATTTTACATGTTTTATTCTCAACTACAAAGGTCTACATCATATGCATACTGCTGGCAATAGGTAAAGGGTAATTAGCAGCTCTTTTTGTTTTTTAACTGGTTGGGTTCTTTGTGAATGAAATATTAAAAACAGTAGGACCTGACATCAGCCTTAATGTAAAACCAAGAATAATCACGAAGCACATAAATTTAGCAATCCCTGTATTTTATGCACAGTGATAAGACTTACAGTGCTCTTCCTTCTCATCACTCCCATCTCCACAGTCATCCTCCTGGTTGCACAGCTCGTGATTGTAGATGCAACGGTTATTGTCACAGCGGAATCGGAATGGTGGATCACAAGCAATGTCCACTGAAATTAAACAGGTAGGGATCTTTAAAGGGTTTGCATTTTTGTACAGGATACCAATATAAAAACCTTATTTTAAAATGGCAATGGCAATCCTTCATTGAACCAAGGGCTATACATTCCCTTTCAGGAAATATCTGGGCATATGCCTGAAGTTGGAAGGGAATTCCAACTGCAAAAGAGAATTAATGGGTAAGGTTGAAAATAGTTTTGACTATTGGGCAGCACAGAAATCAAATAAAGATATTCATACATGTAGGTGAATCCATTTCACTGTCTCTTTCATACACACAGACACATGTGCTTGCACATAGCACACATTCACATACACAAGCATACAAAAGTCTTCATGCTCAGGAAACAGCTACACATTTATTTGATGTGAAATTTCCATAAGAAATATGTAGACCAACATGCAAAGAGCTGGGCAACAAGTCCCAGACACACAAGAGGTTCTCAAAAAGCAGCCTTCAATCCCATGTCAGAAACCAGTGCTGCAAGTGAGCAGAGAGTCGGCAGTATGGCAGGGAAACTGGGTGAAGGTGATCTAATGTTCATACAAGCACGTCAGTGAATGAAAAACAATCCCAAGTCCTTTACTCTGTCTACAGGGCCCCTTTTTTAGGATGCAGGCCATCGTTTCAAAAAATCTTGCAACTTACAGCAGAAGTGAAGTTCTTCATCTGAGCCATCTCCGCAGTCATCATCTCCGTCACATTTCCAGTAGGGCTGAATGCAGACATGGTTCCTGCACTCGAACATTGCTTGTGGGCAGTAAGTTCCATTTGGATACCGAGTAGCTGGTAAAAAGACATTTCTTTTTAACAGTACAGTTATTTTGCCCTTCAAATATGATGTAGGCATCTATTATTTTCTTCCTTCTTCAACAACCTCATTTCACTCTTTCATTGATTCCTGCTAGCTGATTGGTACTCACATTGCTGATTTTTTCCAGCTATGATCATTATGAAATCAAAAGAACTAACCCACTCTGCTTCTGGAGCATGAAGGGACAGATCTATGTTTTGTGTTGTTATCGTTTTGCAGTAAAATCATACTTAAGACTTACTTTAGACTAAATACTATACTCTGGTATAAGAACAAGGAAATGAAACATCGTAACAATAATAACAGTAGCAGCGGCAGTCAGAAATGCTGAATGCTGCTTCTGTTCTATCTGACAGCATTCAGCATCGCTTGGAATTTGCTGTTCATCTTCCCACCCCTCCCTAAAGGGACCAATAACCCTTGCAAGTTTCTTGGAACAGATCTAGGAACTCACGACAAGTTGCTTCATCAGAGAAATCCAGACAGTCTGCACTTCCATCACATTGGAACCGTTCTGCGACACAATGCCCACTGCTGCATTGGAAATAACCAGGATGGCAGGTCCTTAGTTCTAAAAGGAAGAGTTAAGGGGCCGTTGGTTTAAATGCTGGTTTTCAGTTTTACAAATGCTTTGCAGAGTCCTTTGAAATACACAAAAGCGTTACGCACCACAATCCCGTTCATCTGAATTGTCCTCGCAGTCATTGTCATGGTCACATATCCACCGAGACGGAATGCAGCGCAGGTTCTCACACCGATATTCACTTTCTGTGCATTCGCGAGGGCCTTGTGATAAAGAGTTGCATCAAATGCACAACATGCATAGAACCGTTCTGTTAGGATGGTTTCACAAACAGACTGTTCATGAGCATATTTATTCAGAAATTAGCCCCTATCTCTCAGGGAGGCAGCCTAAGAACAAACTTTGTTTGCAATCTAAGAAAAATGCTGTGACGAGTAATTTCTAGTTAAAAGAACTGTTATGTAAATGTAAATACAGTGTTGGAAATACCATTTGCTTTGTACCAATTTTCTAAATTAGTTGCATTGTCCTCATGTTACAAATTTTTGAAGGGGATTAATAACCAGTATTTCTTCAATTATTCAATTGAATCCTGGAATCCTGTGGTAATATTGACTAAAAAAAAGATAGATGAGCAATGCCGCATTATTCTTCCATCCACATCTAAATGTACTTGTGTGGGTCAAATCCAGATTCTATCATTGAAGCATTATCCTGAAGTATTAGCCTGCCTTTTTATAATGAGAAAAACGTAAAATATTTTTAAATTAACCTGCACAACACATTTAGCAGCCATAAAGAGTGCAACATATGTCATTAGTACATTTTTATCTATGGTACTAAAGTGTTTGCACAACTTCGGCTTATCAATAGTAGAGCAGTCTTTTCTTCAGAACTAAGAACTGCTTTAATAAAAGCATTTAAAATTATGCTGGTTGAAAAAAGGCAAACTTATTACCAGTTATGGCAAAATGCTAAAGTTCCAAAAGAAAGCTAAGCAATAGCTTAGAGTAAGACAATCTATATTACAATCACAGGAAAGTAAAGAGAGCTCTTACTGCAGTTTTGTTCATCAGACTCATCTCCACAGTCATTATCCCCATCACACTTCCACCTCAATGGGATGCACCTGTGATTATCACAGCGGAAATCTCCCAGAGGATCACAAGTCATCGACTCTGCAGCACACACGCACACAACACAGAACAGTCAATACGGCACACATATTAAAGTGCCTTTCTCAAATATGACACAGAAATAACATAGGTGGGTTCACTTGGATAATGACAACACTAACAATCAAGGAGTTTAGAAGTGTGTTTCAAAATGAATTCTTAGTATTCTGTTCCATGGCTGCTAAGTATCATTATGGTACACCACCAATGAGTATGGACAGCACTAATTGGCTGGACACTGTTGACCAGGAGACTGAAAGACAGCTTCAGATAATTCAGATGGTCACATGAACAAGGGCCATGTAGTTGTTAGACTATTGGACTGGGACTTGAAAGACCAAGGTTCTATTCCCCACTCAGCCATGACTGTACGCTAACCATAGAATCGTAGAAAAGTAGTGTTGGAAAGGGCCAGAAGGCCATTGGAACCAACCCCTTGCTGTTGCAGGACACCATCCCATTCAGATGACTATCCAGACACCTCTTGAATGCCTCTAGTGAGGAAAGTCCACAGCTTCCCCATGTAATGGGTGCCATTGTCTTACTGCTCTGACAGTGAAGAAATTTTTCCTGGTGTCTAGTCTAAATCTGGGTTCTTATAACTTAAATCCATTATTCTGTGTCCTGGAATAGATGAAAAGGGATCTTGTCCTTCCTCTTTGTGACAGCCTTTCAGGTACTCAGATCACTGAATCTCAGGCTAACCCACCTCACCAGGTTGTTACAAGGACAAAAATGGAGAGGTGAATGATTATATATGCTGCCTTGGGCTCCTTGGAGGAAAGGCAGAATATAAGTGCAACAAAACCTATATAAATAATGAAAGTTTTAACTGCAATAAATAAGGCCACACTGAATGACAATCAACACAGTAACATGCTACTAACAGGATTCTCATTCCATTCTCAATTATGACTTGATCTGTGAAACAGCTATGAATGTATTCTCACAAGATATTGATTGCTTCATCTATACTAGCAGTAAACACATGCTATATCAGTAGTATGTTAACTTTTTATATACATGTTGTAGCCCCTTAACATACCGCAGCCTTGTTCGTCACTGTTGTCTCTGCAGTCATTGTGACCATTGCATAAAGACCACAAGGGGACACAACGATAATTTGTTGTACAGCTGAATTCTGTGTGATTATCACATCGGTAGGCAGGGCCCACTAAAATAAAAGATATCATATCATTCTATTGCTTCAACTTTGAATAGGGTTTTTATTCATAGCTGCTAAATTATTTTCAGAGAATGCATTGTACAAGGCAGATAAAATACAGACACCATTGTTTGCACCAGCTTTATTTTTATTTATATGTATAATGTGATTTTCCACCTAAAGATATTCAAAACAGGCTACCCAACTAGGGATGGCTAAATCTGCCAACTCCGTTTTTCTAGTGCTAAGTCTGTTCTGTCCCAGTTCTGCATTGCATTGTGAAAACATATTTCAGTCTGCACTATGCATTGTATGAACTTCAATATAATTCATATTTTCTATGCATTTTTCCAAATGCGTATGCACTGAAATTTGAACTGAGCAAATTACTGTCCCGTCCCTATACACAAGAAGGAAATTGTAGTATATTTTGGTATTTCAGTCAGAAAATCTCTGTGCTCCTTTCTGTATATGCATACAGGTATAAACAAATATATACATACATAAATTGCCAGTTTCCTTTCACAGTGCCTCAAATCTGTCACCTGAGGCATCCATCTCAATCATGATAGGCTTAGACCTCACCTAATCTCTATTTTTCCATCCTATATCTATGGACTAGTTTAATTCTCTATGGCTAACATTAACAAGCACTTGGATGCTTCTTCTATCCAGAGGCAGCAGTGCAGGAGCTGTCCAGATGCTGACTGGCCATCAGAGCAAACCTCACAGGCAGATGCTGAAGTATTTCGAAATCCTTGGCTAGCTCTTTTTATAGACAGAATTTGAGCTATGAGTTGTGTGGCTCTGCGAGGTAATTTTACCGATCTTTAATCAAGTGTATCCACGCTCTGGCTGGTTAAAGGGTGAGAAAGGAGAACATGTCCCTCACACGTGCTCAATATATGGATAAAACTCTTATCAAGGTAGTCTTTGTCAGTACAGAAAGTCTAGATAATTATGCTGGAGTAAGGAGGTGTGACCTTCTTGACATGGCAGAAGTGTGCTCATCCTTTTTGTTCTCTGTAGTATGTATAAACCAGCCCTGCAACATTTTTCCCAAGTGCTCCAGCGCAGACAACATTCTGCTGTGTTCTGTGGTTGATAAATCTGTGTTAGCACTAGGAAGAATGTCATACAATGCCTTCCAGGTTCTGTAACAAATACAAGGTTGACTTAGTCTGCTTTGCTTACTGCATTCGTGGACTGGCTCATCTGAGTTATCTCCACAGTCATCATCCACATCACACTTCCAGGACTGGGGTATGCAGCGGCCATTATCACATTTAAACTGGCCTGGGGGGCAAGTCCTGCTGGCACAATGAGAACTGTCTTCATCTGAGTTGTCACCACAGTCATCCTCTCGGTCACACTGCCATGCTTCTGGGATGCACCGCTTGTTGGTACATTGCCACTGGTGAATCTCACACTGATGATTGGCTAGAAGAAATCACAAATGTGATACTTGCACATTACTATAACAAAATCACAATACAACCTCTCTAATCTGGAATGTTTAGGGAATGACAAAAAATGTAATTAATCATATGCTTAGATAAACTGGTGTATTGTTTATGCAGAGAGTTAGGCTTTGCATACAGAAGGCCTCAGATTCAATCCCCAACTTCTTCAGATAAGATTAGGAAAAAATCTGGAGCTGCTATCAGCAAGTGTTGACTTTACAGCACTAGAGAGATCAATGGTCTGACTTAGAATAAGGCAGCTTCCTAAGCTCTCACTGGGTATAATACGTAACCAAGAGATTCAAGATAGCTAAATGGGATTGTGATGGGGGCTTTCTCAGACTATTTAATAGGTTTTGTGTCCATGAAAAGATAACAGTCCTCATACCTCCAGACACCTGATACTGCTAATGATGAATAACTGGTTGATTAAATGGTAGAACATTTAAAGCTTGCCACTCACCACAGAGCACATGGTCTTCATCAGATCCATCAGGGCAGTTTGGCATGGCATTGCACAAAAAATGCGAACTAGTACAATTGCCATCATTGCACTGGAACTGCCCAACATGGCAGTATCTGTGAGGACATGTGGGTGGTTCATCAGAGCCATCTCGGCAGTCTCTTTGTCCATCACATTTCCACCAGATGGGAATGCATCTGTAAAAAAGAGACAATCATATTTCTTTTGAATATGCAGTTACTTTGGCATCTTTACAGGACAGGTCAATTCTAGCGTCACTCAGTTCAAAGGAACTCACTAGCTGGTAAGGAAGCTTCCAACTGCAAAGCCTTTATCATGAACAGTGGGTGAGTTTTCTTGTCCAAAGTACTCATGCATGGAGTATAGTGATGCTGTCCAATACATGTCCCTTTTCCAGAAGTTACAACAGTTGGACATGCTGCATGTGCACATCAGGCCATCTCTGATGTACTGTTCTATCTGAGTCATGCATCCTTCCCCATGGGCACTCTCCTCCTAAGTAAAGGGAGGGGCCATAGCTCAGTGGTAAAACACTTGCTTTACACACAGAAGAACCCAGGTTCCATCCCTGGCATCTCCAGGTTGGGCTAAGAAAAACTCCTACTAGAAACCCTGGTAAGTTGCTCCTAGTCAGTGTTGACAATACTGGGCTAGATACACTAAGTGGTCTGACACAGTATAAGGTGACTTTCTACGTTCCAACAGCATTAAAAGGGCCTGCCATACCATTCAGATACCAATCCCTGCTTTTATCTACCCATCACGCCAAAGAAAGTCACTTCATGCTCAGTGTGTCTGAGCTCTCCCTGCTTTTTAGCTGGATTTGGTTTCCACACTTGGACTCTACTGGAGACCTTTTGTGACTGGCCACATCCTCTGTGGGAGCCATTTAGAGTTCTGGTGCCCACAGCAGTTTCTTAATATAGCCCCAGATACAAAAAGGTTGAGGACTCCTGATGTAAACTATTCTGCATTTTTGGTGAAATAGGAGGATATATGAAACACACAGATAGATAAAATGATCATGTGTACAATTTATACACATACCTTTCACTGTCTGCACACAGGAACTGGGTGCTAGAACACACTGGAAGGCAGTGAGCTGTGTTGCCATACTGTACTACCATAAAGTTATCTGGGCATTCACAGGAATAACCATTACCACCATTTTTGATGAGACACAGATGAGAACAGCCACCATTGTTTGTCCCACAAGGATTACTTACTAGCAAAAGAGAAGGGGGGGGACAAGATTATTGCCTAGTAAAGAAATATGTGCAAATTATTGCCATTAAAATTATTGCCATCATTCAACTACACAATTGCTGTGTTTCTACTTTACAGACCAGGACCTGGGCCAGTTCAAGCATGCTGTCTTTGTACCCACAGACAACTGTGAGACTGTATCCTGCTTTGCAAATATTGAAAAAGTTTAGTTAGAATTTGCAGCCTGTTTGTTTTATCTGAAAGGCAACCCTAATATGTAGCTTGGACTATCAAGAAACAGTCCCTCTGAGTAGTTATCAGAGGCTGGGCTGTGGGTTATGCTCAGTTTTTCCTCTTTCAGTTCTGGTTCCCATGGTCACTGGCATATGCAAATAAGCAAGACCCAGTCCCACAAAACAGACTAGATCAAAACACCTCACCAGAAGAAACACTTGGCCATTCTCTAGTAGCCAGCACAATGCAGTGATCCAATGGAAAATGTTAGAATGAAATCCAAGTGGAAAATATATTTTCTTACATCTAAGCTAACAGTTTATCAGACAAATCAACTGGCAATTCAAATCAGGGTCAAGCAAGAAATCAAACTTAGGATAACAATGTATGATAAGACAATGCAAGGAATTAACATCAGCAGAGATGCAGCAAGCAGCAGACTATTCCTTGTTTAGGGACAAAACAAACAAGGAGCTGCTGGTTTTAATTAATTCAACAATCCATTTAGAATGAGTACAACAGAGTCTTGCAAAACTTGTTTTTTGCTTCTCTGGTTCATTCTACCTAATCCAAAGGCTTTTTGCTGTTTGGAAGTATTTGTCCATTCCTTGACATTTATTATTATTAATTATCATAATCATAATCACTACCACCATTTAATCCTGGGGCATATTTAATAATGTGAGGTTTTGTATGGATTCTTTAGGAGTTAAACAACCCAGTGCTAACCCATGGTTTGTTACTAGGTTAACTCTTGCATTGTTTAATCCTTAAACAACCTAGAGCATCCAAGTTTGGATGTCATGTTAACAACCTACAAATGAGTCAATTGTAGGTTGTAACTGAAAGCAGAAGTGAGGAGTGAACCAAACACAATTCAAACATTCATTCTCACTAACCCACAATTGCCATTTTGTGCAAACTAGGTCACTAGGCACACCCACAAGAGGTCTTCCAAAACTCATTCCATGGGAGGAAAAAGCTTAATCAAAAGTAGTTCTGTGCAAGATGTCTATGCTGTGTCAGCTCTTATTTTGACCACTTAGTTGCAATCAGAATGCAGAGGATTAATCACCAGATAGCTACAGCTGACACGAGGAATCTCTTACCAATTGGTTGCCTGTATGGGTGATAGACATGGATATCAAAGGGCCTGTGGGTGGTGTTTGCTAGAACAGCCCTGCCTGATCCATTGTATTTATTCCCCTTTTCAACAGTTCTTGTATTCCAGTCAGTCCAGTAGATTGTATCCTCAAAAACTGTAATGGCAAATGGATGAGGCAATGACCCATCATACACAGTGTGACGGTGTTGGCCATCTAAGTCTGAGTACCTGCAGGAATGAAAAATCAGAGCAACACTGAGACAGAAATTGCAACAGTATTTGGATGCTTGTCTTCGGCTTCAAAGCGAGTGCAAACTAAGGGCGCTCTGTTTTCACAATAGAATTTCAAGATATTTTGTTAATCTGACAGATTAGCTTCACTCATTTCAAGCTGTAGCAAGATGGAAGGAGCTCCTACAGTAAACCAGTCCAACAGCTCTCAGGTGTTAACTCTGACTAGCAAAAGCGCTCTGCCTATTCGGAAAAGTTTTTCTCAATTTTACCCTTCTGAAATCTTTTCATTAAAAAAGGCTGTGGACTGGAGCTGGTATATAAGTTTCCTGGAGGCTATGTATTACCTATGGCTTAATCATTTCCCTGTTTATTCTGCCATGTTTCCCTATTTTTTATGTTGCAAGATTAGGTAGAACAGTTGATTGCAATGGGGTTCATGAACTAAAATATGCTACTGCTGTGATTCAACAAAAGAGGCTAAATGTTCCTCTTTTAATTATCAGCCACAGTAGCATTATAACCTGTATCCCAATTAGCATCAAAAAGTTATAAATCCTTTTCATTTTCAAAGAAAGACACAGACATCCAATGAAATACCCACCATTAAAAACTAACTAGATATGAATATAGCACCCTATGGTCACCCTGAAACCTAATTGGATGCAATTATAGATTGCAATTATAATTTTAATTATAAAAGTTATCTTTTATCCAGGTGAAGACGTAACATAGTCAGCAGTTATCTAACCTCTGGGCCACTGAATGAAGCAGAGGGCACAGGCTGGCCAGTACTGACAGTACCCAGCCACCCTCTTAGTATCCAGTAGGATCACAGGCATTTGATCATTTCCCCACTCTTGGGTTGGTAGAGAGAAGCAATGAGGAATAACATCCTTGACTCATTGGGCCTGATAGCAGGTAGGAATAGCTGCTTTGCTCCCACTTCTCCACTCCTGGAGAAGGTGCACTTGGCAAGAGGAAGAGTAAACTGCAGGACATATGGCTGGAACACATGACTGTCCCCCTCAGAGAAATGGGCCATGGAAATTCTACCCACCTTGTCTGGTTTTCTAAGGCAGACACGAGAGGAAAAAGTGCTGGTGTTTAACTAGCTATACACGGAAATATAAATGGTTGATTGATATTCTAATTGGCAATTATGGCTCTTCCACGCTTTTAATAAAACTGACTTACAACTGTAGCAGACTAATTTGGCAACCCCCAAAATTTGGTATGAAGAGTTACCCAGTTGCTTTATTCTTCTCTATGTACGTACTCAATGTAGTTTAGATGGGCATCTGCCCAGTAGAGCTTGTCATTGGTATAATCTATGGTGAGTCCATTGGGCCACTCTAACTTGGCAGAGATAATCACTGTCTTGTTCTTGCCATCCATTCCGGCACGCCCAATATACGCTCGTTCTGCCCAGTCTGTCCAGTAGACATGTCTGTTATAACAACACAAATGCATCTTGAATCTTTGTTTGCAATACAAAGGTGAGTGCATTAGCTTAAAAACAGATGAACCTGAAAGGAAGGATATGCAGCAAAACAGCAGCAGCAAAAACCAAAGCATCAGCCAGTGTGTGATTTTATTATACTAACCTACTGATCTAAGAGAAATCTGCCATAAATGACTATATTATGGTATCATGAATGACTTTTCACATATTTTATGTCATTTCATAGAATAACCCATTATATTTCTGAGGTATTGTTGATGCTTGGAAATAAATTATTTTGGGGTTAGACACAAAATCCAAATTAAGGTTGATGGAGATCCACAGACATATCTTTTGCTAATGGAGTCTTACAATACAGTATCTTGCCCTGTTAAATGGACTTTTAACTTACTGAAATACTGGATAAGGAGGGAGTAATGTGTTACAAAACCTATCGATCAAATGACAAAAACTACAATTCAAAAAAGTAGACTAAATTTCATATTGCAATGGATTGAATCCAACTGTGGCATTTCCCTGATGGAAGCAGTTCTCTCAGTGGAACCAGCAGAGCACAATTTTTCCATACAACCCCAAAAATGTGCTCCAAGGATATGCCAGAGCAGTTTTTTCATAGGTAGAGAATACTGTGGGGGGGATTAGGGAGGAAGAACTTCCTAACACATGGGCAGATTTCAGTTGGCATGATGCTGCTATCAAAATAACAATCTCTGATCAAAGTCAAAGTAAATGGACCAAAAACCTAATATCAAAGTAATCCAAACAACTAATGCTGATCTTGCTGTATTCCATGGGACCACAGCAACCTGGCTTAAATACAATTTTGGCTTCTTCAACTGCAGAACAGTCGTTCAAAGAGACAAATGCAAACACAAGAAACTGGATGCAAGAAAAAGGGTCATGTTGTACACTAGCAATCAATGCTGCATCACTGCTATGCTCTTTGTTGAATCATAACAGTTGCAATTACTATTAAGATTCTTTCTTTTCCCTTAATTTGTGTTTGTGTGTGCTAAATTTTTGTTAACCACCCAGAGTTTCAGCTATTGGGTAGTAGAAAAATGAAAACAATGAATAAATACATTGATTTATTGCTGCACTAGTTTTCAGGATCCATAATTACTACTGGAAGTATTTCCAAGTTCACACACATCTCTATACACTTTCACTCAGACTTTCTTGTCTTGTCTTGACTTCATTTGGGCCATTTGGGACTTTGTTTCTTTTCTTGGTAAACTGCTATATCAGTATTAATATGTAGCACCACAAGCAGTTGCTAACAATTCCAAATATACCTCTGAAAGACCCATATAGGTTCAGTATGTGCTCATCTTGCAAGTTTTTTACATTTTCCCCTTCATTACTCATTATTCCAGGAGGTGTTAACTAAACGTTTTCTGGTGAATTTAAGAATTAAAAGGAATAAATATTAAATAGCTTACCCATATTTAGGGTGAACAACAATTCCTCTAGGATGTTGAAAACAGAAAGTATTGTTGGGATCCAAACAGCGATCAACTATTTTTTTCCGGAAGCGGCCATCAAGTTCGGCCACATAGAGGCAGTCTTGGTAGGCATCAACCCAATACAGTTTTCTGAAATATTTGACCAAGTACATGTTACATCAAGTCCTTAATGTATCTATTTTATATCATCATTTTCCTTTAATGCACAGTTGGGCAACTTGTGGCCTTCTAAAGGTTTTGGCCTACAACTCCCATCAGCCCTAGACAGCATAGATGACAATGAGGGAAATGAAGACTACAACCTATGGACAGCCACAAGCTGCCCAGCCCTGCTCTGCAGTAACGATCAATACAACTCTGACAGGCAGACAACATTGGAGAGGGTGTAACACAGCTTGGACATTTGCAGGCCTAGCAGAGTTTATCACAGGATAATTTAGTTTTACCCCAACCATATGGTATTTATCCTGCTGCACAAATAGTACAGTACCAGTTGAGTTACACCCTTGTAGTTTCTCACTGATTCTTTCTAATCTCCAATGAATTACACCCTTTGCCAAAATTTAAAGACAGATTTACTTTTCTGCACCTAGAAACCATGCTCACCTATTAGTACAACAATATAAAAATAAAAATATAACACTTGCAATATTGAAAGCACTAAGAGCATTTTTTGGTGGCTGAAACTATTTTAAATCACTGAGTATTCCATAAGCAATAACAAAATGACAGTCAGCAGGTTCAGTTGCCTTTCATTTGAGTCTACAGATGGTTCCAATACAGCTGCTCACTGTTGGCCATACAAATATAGCCCTACCTCATTATTCTCTCAGATACCACCACTATCTGTGACAACAATACTGATACCTGTACAGAGTTGTTTTGGGATAGTGCACGTGAAGCACTCTGAATGCCCTTATGCACTCGCAAATTGTTTTGACTACTGTTATTTGCAATTGCTTATTAAGAAGAGTCTTACTTGAGTTTTGGAGAATGTGGATTGAAACATAAAAATAAACCTTTTTATTTAACCTTGATTCTAAGAATTAGAGTTTTAGAACTTTAGATCTTGAAGTTAATGGTTACATTTTATTTTAATTATTTTAGTTATTTTATTTATTTATTTTCCTATGTTTGATTTACTACTTTTTGCTTATTATTGGATTAATTTGATGGTATTCTGTTAGCACTGACTGTATTTATTACAATCAATTTATTATTACTTACTGTATTATGAATTATATTTTTTATTATTGCTGATTTTATACTCTGTAAGCTGTCTTGAGACATATAGTGAAATATGGGATAAAAATGTTTTATTAAAATTAAATTATTAAATTAAAAACATTAGTCCAGGGATGCAGCACCTCAGGCTCAGGGGATAAATGCAACCCCCCTGCAGTACCAATCTGACCTCTGGGACTCCCAAGAGGGCCACACCACCTTCTCCCTGCCCAACTACTTGACCACAGGTCTTTTTGTCTTGGCTGCTTCCCAGCTTTTTTGTAGTCTTTTCCCTATTCAGCAAGGTTGAAATGCCTAAGCTAAATCTCAGTTACTGGCAGTAACTGCAGTAAGCTGTTTGTTTGGGCCCTTCCCCATTTTGCCTTCAGCCCTGCCCACTACTAGACTGTGGAGCTGAGAGTTTCTCTGAAATGGAATTGGGCTCGCAGGCTGAAAAGGGTTCAACACTCTACATTAGTCCCCTATCATGATAGGAGACAGACCCTTCGATAAGAAATGTTTGTAAGATAAGGAGACTTACCTGCCAACCCAGTCAACAGCAATACCTTCCCCGTTGGGCACACCATCATTGATTATTATTTCCTTGTTTGTCCCATTGAAAAACATTCTTTCGATGACCCTCCTGCCCACATCAATCCAGTAAAGCCTTTTTTCCACCCTGTCGAAGTCTAGTGCCACTACATTTCTGAGTCCTTGCAAAATGAGAGAGTAAGACTGGCCATCCGTAGTGAGGTTTCTCAGATAGTAACGGTTACTAAAGATAAGGTAGGGTGAGATGTTACTATTTTGCCGGCAGCTTTTCCCATCAGGCTCACGGAGGTAGCCTGGAGCACACTTACAGATGTAGGAGCCAACGGTATTCTCACAAATCTGGCTACATGCTGATGGCGTTTCACTGCACTCATCTATGTCATCACAAGACCTTTTATTGGACATGAGCCTGTAGCCAACACGACATGAACAATAGAAACTAGTCTGGGTGTCAGTGCAGATATGGTCACAGCCACTGATTGAAGGGTCACTACATTCATTAATGCCTATAGTGAGAAAACAAAACAAAAACATTATCTAGCTTTAATCAAGAAATCAAGTGGTAGCTACACTGGCATGGATTTCTGCTTGCACATTTAATAACAACCCCATAGATACAAATATAAATATATATAACTCAGCAAAGCTGTAATGACAAAATCCAAAATGGTTGTCAAGTGAAACCATCTGTTGGATCAACTATGTTTGGTAAAAAGTTCAAGGAAGCAGCTGGGCTACACAAAATTGCCACAGATCTTAAACACATCAGCTCATCTTCCTCACCAGCTCTGACAGACTCATCATGCGTGTGTCCCATCCAGCCGCATTGTAGGAGCAATCCCACCAGTCACTCATGCAAACTAAATGATATGGGCCTTTTTCAACCTTGGTTTCCCAAACATTGGTGGAGAGCAGCTACTAACTCTCCTGATCACTGGACATGTTAGCTGGGGATGATGGGGATTTTAGTATATCTAGGGATCCAAGACCGGGAAAGGCTGCAATAGATCTACAGGTTTAAGCTAAAGTTAAATCCAAGCACTTTGAGTAAAAAAAAATGTTTCAGTAAAATGTGCTACACATACCACATCCTTTTTCATCACTGTTATCAATGCAGTCATCGTTCCGATTACAGACTTTGACCATTTCAATGCAGTTCCCATTGTCACACTTAAAATAATGGGGAGGACAGGTTGCTTCTGGTGTAACACAGAGATATTCCAGCTCATCTGATTCATCACCACAATCATTGTCCCCATCACAGACATAGGCCTTTGAGACGCAGCGGCCATTTTGGCAGGTAAACTGGTGTTGTGGACAAGGCTGATAGATGCAACCCCTCTCATCACTGCTGTCACCACAGTCATTACGTCGGTCACACCTGGAAAAGAAATCCACTTCTGGAACTTTACAAAAGGGTGGCAACCGCCAGCAAGGCACAAAAGTCTGTATTAACCAGAAAATGCAAGTCCTCAACAGCTGAACATCCCATGTCTTAAGAAGAAGCCTATCTACTCATTGTGTAATGGTCTGATCTGAAAATTCTTGTATCCAGTGTCATTCAAATAAGATCAGAATGTACTCGAGAAAGCCGAACAACTTCCCAATCAAGGGGATTGCATGCAAATCATCCAATTTTGATGACCCTGGAATTATCTGAAGACATTAACAAGACAGCCATGACATTACACAAAGCAGCAAGATGGGTATATTCTAGAGAGATAATCTGAGTGGGCTAAACCACAATAAGTAATATAACTGACTTTGCTGAGGCTCTTAGTGAGTTCCAATCCACAGAGAATCCTCCGAAGACTTCTTTCTGTCCCTCCCATTCCTGCTTTACAAGTGGCTTAATTCTACATTTTGCTCCCACTGCTTTGCTTTTTCCCATTGTCACAATCAAACAAGTTCTCTTTCTGTCAGCAATGAGCAGTATGACATCATAAACTTTCACCAGCAGTTCAGCAAAGAAAAAAGGAGGAAGGAAAGGAAGAAGAAAGGAAAGAAGAGTTTGACTTCATGCAACCTTTACACTAGAAAACTCACACTCAGAGCGAGTGTCCTGCCTTCAGCATACCCAGTAAGTCTAAGCAAGCTAATATAGGATTTGAATCCAGCTTGAGGTCCATCACTCTGTCTACTGGCTGGTAATAGCTCTAGGTGGATGAGTTACTTCCTTGAAAGTGCTCAACACAATTTAAACAAACCTGTATGTGTTACGGATGCATAATCCATTGCTACAAGTAAATTCATTGTCCATGCAAGGCCTCCTTGTGCAGTTTTGATGTTCGTCAAAAGCATCGATACAGTCAGCATCCCCATCACATACCCAGGCTCTAGGAATACACCTTCTTAGTGGAGGCACATTATTCACACATGTGAATTCAGAAGCTGAGCAGCTGCGGTTTGCTAGAACAAAGCACAGTATATCAGTTAATTATTCAAGATGTCTGTTAGTCATGCCATTTAAATAAGTCTGCCATTTTCATTCTCAATGTTTTTAAAAATCTGTTCTAGTCTTTAGGCAGGGATTAGTAACAAAGAAGTCTAGGGATAATAAAATTGTAATAAAATTGTATAAAGAAATAACAAAAGCGCAGTGATTCTGCAACTGTAAAGCTTTATTTCTAATAGCTGTTTACCACAATTGTGTCTTTGGTCCTCATCACTCATATCACCACAGTCATTATCTCCATCACAGATCCATGTAACCGGTATACATCTGCCACCATCACACTTGAACTGGTCACTTGAACAGCTCCTTACAGGAGGTACTTGAAAGAAAAGAAAAAGTTGCTTTGTTAGCAGACTGTGCAGAATGCCAATTCGTGTAAGAAAACCCATTCTTCCACAGTTATCCTTATGTTTATAGGATTACTAATTACAGTGCAAAGGGTCAGTGCACATCACTACTATCAGCAAAAACATTGCTGTACTGTGTCACTCCAAAACTCCTAGGATATATAGTAAAATCTTCCAACTTGATATTTTTAGACATAGAATGTTTTGTAGAAGTAGGCCCTAATATACATACATGTATTACAGTCAAGGTGCAATTCTATGGCCATCTGGATGCTATCAGGATGGCCACAGAGGGACTGGATTCCGAGTTCCAACCTCAGCAAATTGTAAGAGCTGAGACTGACTGTGGTGGTCCTACCTCTACCCCTGTGGTCAGTATGATTATTTCTGCTCCAGTTGTGGCACTGAAGTCAGAAGTGCACCACTGGAGCAGGTTTAGAGGAAGCCTTCTGCGGGGCAGGGGGGAAGGAGTGTGGCTCCACGTGGATATGCAGAATCCCAGTGGTGCTTCAGCCCCTCCTTCTCTCAAGCAAGGGAAAAAGACATAGTCATAACTGTCTGTGTCTCCTGCATGGTGGGAAAAGCACAAAGACAATTCTCCCATTCTTGAGTGGATGCCTGTAATCCTCCAAGTTCAGGGTATGAAGATCTACAGTGGATGGCACCCTATCCTCAGATCACAACTGCTTTTTTGAAAAAGTCAGAACTCAACAATATCCTTAGTTCAACTATACATACACCTTGAATTCCATGTTTTATCAAATCATGCAGGTGTGTCTTTCCCTTGGATTGCAGAGTATAAGATAATTCACATTCTCAACTAAAGTGGTGGCTGTCAAATAAGATTATTTTCATCAATGCATGACACTGTATGCTAGGAAAGCACAATCCTTGGTAGATAATCCTAGACTTATGCTTTATACCAGCAGTATTTGTTCCTTTCTCACCTGGGATTGACTTTTAACCCCATTATTTTACCTGGGCCTCACTTTCATTATTTTACATATATGCTTGTCTTCTGTGTTTTAGCTCTTCTCTTCTACTCCTTCTAGCCATTCCACTTCCTTCTCTAACAAAATTTATAAAAGGTGGCAGTGTTACCACTGTGACTCAATATGGGATGGGAGCACAATCTCAGAAAACTAATGTTTCAAAGACTTAAATTGTCACCTCTTAATTTTAATTAGTTTTTAATTAGTTGCACCTAGATTCTCAAGAATAAGTCGGGAAGTGAAAGTACCTTCAGGATAGCCTAATTCGAAACAGAAACAAAAACAAAAACCCCACATAAAGAATCTTCTGTGAAGGAGGCATAAATCCAACCACCCCATTTTTATGAATGAAGAACATACATGCCTAGAACATAGTCTTGATAGTTACCAAACCAAAAAAAGCAAAAGGGGTCTTTAGAACCTCCCTGGACAACACCCTGGGTTGGTACTTGCTGCATTTTAACAACAGGTACCTCCTTAGAAACTGCACAGATGAAGCTGCCAATTTTCAGTCCTCAGTAAGTGTGCAATTTAAGCATATATGAAAAAGATACACAGAGAAAGAGAGAGAGTGCATGAGCACACTAATATTTCCATACATTTGGGTGTCTGAAACATTTTTTTTAAAATGGGTTTGTGACCATTCCTAGGTGCAGTGTGGTAATTCCAAGTATTATGTGTTTGCCTTCCCTTTAATATCCTGTTCCTCAGCTGAGTAAACTATAAACATGCAGGAGATGCATATATGGTATTGTGCATATACAATTATTCCATGCTTTGGGTTTCACTTAGGGAATATTTCCTAATAATGTTCCCATCACTTGCCTATCCCATACATCTTCCCCAGTCAGGCTATAGCTTAGCTAATCAGGCTGCTTTTAATTTGATACTTACCACAAGAAGCTGGCTCATCCGAACCATCAGCACAATCTATTGCTTGATCACAGTACCAATGAGCAGGAATGCAACGCCCCGATGAACAACGAAACTCAGTATTGGTGCAAGTCAGTGAGACTGGAAGGAGGGAGAAATTTATGTTTTATCTGTCCTTTTTAAAAAATATATTTATTTAAAAATTAGTATGCCAACTCTGGATGGCTTACAACATTTTTCTTAGCTTCAAAAGGATATGAAGTTGCATTTGAGTCCATAGCCAGTGCTTTTTTTGTAAAAAAAAAAGGTGCCGGAACTCACCTCTTCGGGTCACACTTTTGCACTAAAAAAGATTTTCAATTCACCAACTTTTTTTGAAATAAAGAACTTATTTACCTTTTGCACATAGCCAGTCACTCTACACACACATAAACATAATGGTCGCCGCCAGCAGTAAGCACTGAGCGCGTGACCACACGACCGATCCCAAGCTGAGCAGCGTCCCGAGTCAAGCAGCCCCCTCACAAGCAGCACGGACACACGCACAGCCCGCAGGCACTATTTTAATGCTGGTTCACAGCTCAGACTCTAAACCACTACCCAGTGTGGTAGCTTTTCGTAATAAAAGCTAATGTAGTCCCCTCTAGGCAAGAACTGTATTATTTCAACACTGTGTGCCGTTTTCGGCATGGTATGCCGCTATCACTAAGTCAGGACTGGCTCTAGAGGGTGGCAAGGTTAGACATCTGTCAGGGCTCAAAGACCAGCAGAGGGCCCACTGCTACTCTAACTAAGTGCTCTGCAGAAAGAGAGAGTACCCATCACATGAGGGCAAGTAGCCCACACATATGGCCCTGCTTACATATGGGCCTCTGCAACATAGGTATGCTTCTGAACTACATGGAGGTGGCTCCCATGCTGATCTGCTGAAAATGAGAAGCAAATCCTTGTTTGCTCCTTTGGGGAAAAGGGAGCAAAAATTCCCAAATATTTTATAGTATTATGACTATGAAAAAGAAAGCTGCTCTTCACCCTTCTCAGCTCTTTACATATCGACAGCTTACCTGCTTGAGAATTCGCACCATGAATTTATGGAAACATACCTTTTCCCTTATGACCAAGTTAGTTGTTAACTAACTGAACTCCCTCATAATTCTAAGCCTCCAAGTGAATTTTAAGAAGTTGTGCTTGGTTCAATCTTTGCCATCACCGGACGCAACTAGAAAAGAATCCTGTCAGTAAAGTTGAACCTCTTTCAGCATATGGGTCAAATTTTATTTTGCAGAGCCTCCCAGCAGCCAGCAAAGCCTCCTGTGGGGAATGAGGCTGGAGGCAGAAAGGACAAGGCCAAGAGCACCAGCATAATATACCTAAAAAATTCTTACTGCTAGTGGCTAAGCCTTAGCTGACACTGGAGAGCTGGTCTTGCATAGTGGTTAGAGTGTTAGACTGGGACCTGCTCAACCCTGAATCTCACTAGGTGACTTTGAGCACTTTCAGCCTATTCTCAAAGGGTTACTGTGGGGATAAAATGGAGAGGAGAAGAAAGATTATGCAGGTCACCCTGAGTTTCTTGCAGGAATAAAGGTGGAATATATATATATATCATAGATGCGTCAGTCAGTCAGTCAGGAGAGGCATTTCAAGCTTTTAGAATGGGGAAAAAAATCTGTAAAAGCACCAAACAATGTCTCATTTACAGTAAATCTGCTCTCCCTTTTTAAGTTCCAGACATTCCACATTAAGTTCACATCACACACACATGCGGGCGTACACACAAACACACACATCAACTGTTTCATTTTCAACACAGTCCTAAAAGGGAAAGAATAGAAACAACAGGAATGTTTGGCTTCCTTCCACAATCAAGGCACAGGAGCATGAAGTGGAAGAGGGTAATTGAGGGAACCATCAGCTTACCACAGTGAGTAGGGCTCTCATCACTCATGTCACCACAGTCATTATCCCCATCACAAAGATAAGTTCGAGGAATGCATATGTTTGTGCTCTGACATTTGGTATAACCAGATTGACAAGTACGTTCAGCTTTAAGAGAAAAAGAAAGTAACCAAGAGTTTAGATTTCTTTTTTCCTTCCTGCAAATGTAACACACAGAATCTTTTTAAAAAGACTATTTATAAAAGCCTTGAAACTTGAATTATTCTAGGATGAAGTTATCAAAGAGAAATTTATGTATCCAGTCATCAATTCCAAATTAGCCTAATGTGTCTTCTCCAGAGATAAGCTAATATATTCATTTTGAGAAACAAACAACATACCCACCATTTGATCCACTGATATATATTCATTATTTACATTACATAAGTAACATTTGTTTAGCGATATTTATAGCTTTTGCTCTTTTGTTCGGTGGTCATTTAGGAATGTTATCCAAAATTAGGCCGAAAGTATTTTGCAAACTCTATGGAAACCATGCTGTGGTTAATGTATGAGAAAGAATGATTGGGTTCAGACAACATAACTCACTCTCAGGAGTTGTCACTGAATTTGCTGTGTGAACCAAGCTGTGCAAGGAAGCCATTGTCTGTCAACCATGAACAACACATGAAGATAACGCATGGTTTGTTGTTGTTAACTATGGGTTGTTCAGGATGGTTTGTTATCTTGGCTGGGTTCATACAACACAGTAACTTTCATTTTACAACAAGCAATGGTTCAACAACAATGGTTTGTTGTGTCTGAACCCAGCCAGTACATGGAATAGGAACCACACTGCATGAAGCAGACTCTAACTTTGCACAAGTGCATTTCTTCCTATTGCAGTTCTTTGGGTACTCCCCAAATCTGTTCTGCAGGGCCCCCCCAACCCTCCAGAACAGACTTCTGGGGGATATGATGATATGGAAGATAACCCCAGGCCAGAGATTGTGCATCACTTCTGTACAGCATCTAGTGCCATTGCTTCATCAGCAGCCTTTCTAAGACGAGGAAACAAGAAAGAGACCCAAATCTTATGCAGTTTATTGTTAGTTGAAAGAGCCACTGGACTAGGTGTACTGTGGTTATCACTCAGTGTGTGCTTAAGTGCCTTCTACAGAAAAGTCATTGCTTTCATTAACTTAAGAATTAAGTTAAGGATTAAAAATTCACATCCTGGGGTGGTTATAAAATATACATTATGGATATGCTTTATCATCCAGTCCCCAGTGAATGAAACACAACACCCTTAACTTTGTAAACTGGTCAGAACATTCCTGATGCAATAACATCTAATCAGCATGTCAAGCATCCTTTAAATCTGAAATATTGTGTCCAAAACATTAGATAACCTCTGTTAAATTACTTCTTTTCTTGTACTGATTCTTTATGTGACCTTTTCTCCTTTGAAGCCTAAAGAATCAGATCCTAAAGGACAAGACATAGTTTAATCAACTTACGGCAATTTCTCTCATCTGAAGTGCCATTATCAAAACAGTTGTTTACACCATTGCAGACGTATTCAAGAGATATACACCTTCCATTATTGCAAGTAAATTCTGTGTGGGAGTCACAAGTTCGGAACAAGCAGCCCACCTCATCACTGTTGTCTCCACAGTCATTGTAGTGATCACAGCGATAAGCGTAGCGTACACACCGCCCATTGCCGCAGGTGAAAGCTGTTGGCTGACAGGTATGAAAAGCTGAAGGAGAGAAATGTGACAAAGGCATGTCATTGACAGAAGAGGAGCTAAAGGTCTGGACAAATACTTCAAAAAAAGGCACAGCACTTTGTTTTACCTGCCAGGGCAAACACAGCTGCAAAACGGACTGCATGTAAAATAAAATACACATCTTGAATCAGTCAAATAGAAGGCAATTTTTTTTTAATCTGTATGTGGTGGAAAATTTCCAGAAATTACAAATCACTACAAATCACTTCTATCCTTATTAGAGAGAAAAGTTCAAATAGAAGGGGAGGAGCTGGGATCCAGTAGCTAAGACACTGACAGTGTTTGCATGGCATGGCAGCCCATTATGGCTAACTAGCCACTGTGAGTTTTTGTGTCATCCAAACTCAGACAGCTTCCTGCAGGGAGGTTTACTTTTGTGCAAAAAACCCCACATTATCAACCCATGACAGGTCTGCATGTCATCCAAACCCGGGAGGCCAATCCCATAATGAAGAGTGACCCACTCAGCAAAAGACCCTTGCCATTCTGGGTCATCCATGTCACCACCATGTCACCAAGTCATCCATGTCACCACCAGTGCCAACCAGTGACCAAGTGCTGAAGTAGCACTTTAAAGCAACCATCTACAGCCTTATAGCTAATGGGGTGAGATAAAAATCAGATAGATAGATTGATAGACCATCTCACAAATATGTGCAAAAGTCTTCATTAAAAAAAAAGTGCTAGTCTTTTGGGAGTTGCATAAATGTGCATTTGCATCTGTCAAAATATTACCTTCTCAGATATATCTGTCAGACAGGAACAAAGTAATATGGGGAGACTGCATATAAGCTAAATGACAAACAACTGACTGCTTCCAGTTACCTGTCAATAGAAACAAAAATGAATTAGCCTCAGTATGTCCCTAATCTGGATTAACTGGAGACCCAGGAAGTTCTCCCAAAGGTGAAGAGCAAGGGAAAATGTCAGTGAAACACTTAAAACCCATAAAATTATCTGATAAAAAGGAGATCTACACTCCACCGCATTTCGGTGCACTCAGCTTTGTGGTTTCTTTCATACTTCCAGATTCTAACTAACAGTCAGGCAAATGACAACTGTTCTGTTTATCCAATATGCAGTCTCACCTCATTATTCTGTTTCCGCGTAAGAACTGTGATTGACAAGAGAACAAAGCAGACAAGACTACATATATTTCTGACAGCCATTTAATGCAAAACAATACAACACCAAAAGACAACCCCCCATTCTTTAAAAAAAAATGAAGTCATTTGCACAGATTTATGCTGTCCAAACACATTTTTAGAAAGGGTAATGGGTCAGTAACCATCACTCCAAAGTATTGCCTGGGCACTGATGGGGTGGCAGCATGGGGCTCTCAGAAAACAAACCAAATATGAATAAAAACAGGACAGGTAGAGAGGAAACAAGAAAGGTTCTGCTGCACTGCAAGATGGAAAGGCAGGGGGAGGAGAGATGAGCAGCTTGCTGGCAGTTCCAGGAGCAATCCACACTGCGTAGCTTATTTGCAGTATTGGTTGCTGTGTCATGAATATTGCCCACTGCCACAAAGTTACACAACAGCAATTATTCAAATGTCAGCAGGACACACAACATGAATTACACATTATGGGGCCTACGTTAGCTACTCCAGCTCTTTAATTAGATGTTAACAGAAAGGGACAAAGTCCTCTGGTGTCATCTTCCCTTCCTATGGATGCTGCTACAAATGGAGAGCATTTCTCCCTTGTTTCCAGCCCTCCAATGCATGGACAGCTGTGCTCCCAAGGAAAGCTAATGCACCCAAGGCCATGCTCAAGATAGTAGGCGGGGACAGAGCCCTCAATGAACAGCATTTAATCACTGATGAGGAAATAGATAAGATTAGAAATACCCAAATTTTTAGTGGTTTCACTGAGAACACTTTTGCACTTACGGTGCCTACCTTCCATATAACATAACAACAAAGAGTCTTGTAGCACCTTAACGACTAACACACTGGCTTTTGTTGGTCCTTAAGATGCCAGAAGACTCCTTATTTTCTGATGGAACAGACTAGCAGAGCTACCTTCTTGAAATGCCTTCTTTAATTAATATACTCATATTACCATTTTTACTTGTTAAACACGAAAATTGGGCAAACATTCCCCAGACCTTACAGAAATTACTATTCAGGTTATTATTTCTATGCTGTCCAAATCTAACAATGTTAGAAGCTAAGACATTAGTTTCAAAATCTTTACCATATCACCCTCCCTGAACCAAATGAAAGTGCAAAAGGATACTTTCCATTTTTCATCACAAGAATTACAGTTGAATTAACTTAGTTTTTTATACAAACCTGGTCACGGACAGCAGATGAGCCTTTGACCAAGGAGATATTGATTATTCCTTTATCTTATTCAAAAACTCCCCACACACCACCAAATCAATAGTAACTCGCCAAGAGCTTCAGATTCAATTACAGAATTCCTTACCGCACACACTTTCCAATTCATCACTGCCATCCCCGCAGTCATTATCATTGTCACACTTCCAGCGCTCTGAGATGCACCGGCCATTGAGGCAGGTGAACAGGGATCCTCCACACCTGGTGCCATTGTCCGCAATGCAGTGCTTGTTGTTATTGGCTAAATACCAGTGTCCCTCAGCAGGGCACTGGCACTCTGCACCTGTGGGGCCTGTATTTGATTGCAATAGATTCAGTAACAGCAACTATTTTAACAGGTTGTTAAATTTTATCCCTACACAGAACATACCCCCAAATGTACATTTTAATAATTCACTGAAGTTTATTCCGAAGAGGACATGGACCTCTTACAGTTCTAACTCTACTGCAATATCTTTTTATGCAGTCTGAGGAATTCTACTTGTTAATGGGCTGCTGCAGACTAAGTATTTTCATGACTACACCTGTTATAATTAATCCTGGCATGTAAAATGTATGTAAGGATTCCAGGGAGAGCCTTAACCAAAATGTTTTTTGCAGCTGTATGTGACAAAAAGACATGTGAAATTTGCATATATACTTCCATTCAACCCAACTGCCTTCCATATTGCACCAGTGGGAATCACAAACAAACATACACAAAATGACAGATTTCAAATTTGACAAGATCCCTAACATTAAAACACAATAATCAAATATTGCACAAGAGATGTTGTGCTTTGTAACACTGAAATTGCTGCCTCAGAATCAATGCATTGAAACTAGAGAATAACATCATTATTTTGGTTATAGTATCTCAGATCTAACTCAAGTGGACACTTGCATGCTAAGCATGCAGAAAATCCTGGGGTGTTGTATGTTATGGAGTTTGAGAACTATTCCTGATTTCCCAGTGCAATTACACATAAATTGATCCACACCAACATAATGAGTTCAGATATTTTGCCAAAAGCCATTGTATTTAATCCATTATTCCCCATTCCCAGAAAGTTTACCTGTGACACAGATGTGACTACAGCCACCATTAAACTGGTTGCAAGGATTGGTGCACTGCTGTTGCTTGCTTTTTGCCCAGACGTGAATATCCATTGGCCTGTTTGGCAGGCTTGAGATCATAACCATCTGATCTGACCCATCATATTTGTTGGCTCTATAGATACTTCGAGTGTTCCAGTCTGTCCAGTAGATGTGCTGATCAAACAGAGTCATTGCAAATGGATACAGCGCCGTGCTAATAATAACCTCACGATTTGCACCTGTAAGGGAGCTGCGTTCGATCTTCTGTCTAAAACAAGTAGAAAATGTTATCCTTTGAACCAAAAACATGGGCCTCCAACTTTCTACACATTTTAAGTGCTTACAGGTCTCACAGGTGGAATGTTAAGAAAAACATCAAAACTCCTTGTTACATTGGCCAGTCTTTATGGTGCTACAAACGTTACTTGCAAGATTTCCCTGTAGCCCAGAATAATGAATTACATGGACAGTCAGATCATTAATGTTACTTTAAATAGCTTGCATGTGAATTATAATATCTTATTTAGACTAGGACCACAAACAGGTGTCTGATGGAAATTCTAACAAAAGAATATATAGTACCCAAGAGTAAATAAATGAAAAACAAATACATACAAATTTGCATCTGCCCAATAAAGCTGCTGCTCTTCATAGTCCAGTGTAAGTCCATTTGGCCATACTAAGTTGGTGCTTACAATGGAAGTCCTGAAGTTTCCTCCAAGTGTCGCCCGTTCAATTTGAGCACTGGAACTCCAGTCAGTCCAGTACATATATCTATGACCAATACAAATGAGAAAGGTTGCTTGTTGGCAGATTGAGCAGCCACTAAAGAAACTTACTTTACCCTTTCATAGTAAGTGGATAAACACAGGAAAGGAGAAGGTATATGGAAAGAGTTAAGTGACTGTAGAGTCTGCACCAAAACCTTTCTGGGAAGCTCCTCAACAGCTCTGGAAAAGGGGCCAGAATACTAAAGTAGTCAATGTCAGATGAAGAAACAAAGGACCTGATCCTAAAGTCGGCTTTGGACGGATCTCAATCTAATGTGGGCTTTATTGAATATCCATTTCTGTAAACTTACAAAACATTGTTAACTGAGGAGATTCTACATGTGTTAAAAGGGCATTGGGGATAATTATCACAGCCAGAAACTTGTTCAACTTCTTAAAGATCTCTGGCATTAAATTGGTATTTTCATATGTTAGGTATGTCACTTGGCTTGGCTTATATTTGATGCAGTAATATTTTATGCAGTTTGTAATTATTACACGCACACACGCACACTCTTTTTAAAAAAAAATCCACAGAGAGATGAAACAAACAAGGAAGGAGCAAGAAGGAGCAAAAGCCTAGCCAACACACAGTGTTTACTAAGGAGAAGAAGCCAGTAATGGCAAAAATACAGCTACTGGAATAATTGTTGGAAGGGAACTGAACAAGAAGGCACTCACTCCACAGACCAGCGCCAATATATACAGCCATTTCCATTCTCATGAAAGGACAACAGTCTGCCTTCCTCCTGTCTAAAAATTCTGAGGATACTCTAACCAAGCACAGAATTCCAAATATGAAACTGCAGAGAGGCCTATGATGAAGAGCTGAAGATTTTAAAGCTCCCCATATTAACATAGGGAAAATGAAGTGAAAAAAATGAAACAAAAACTGAAACCTTCCTATATAGAAACAGTCATCCCTGGTTTCAATAGACAGAAAATGCAGCTTACCCTTGGCAGGGATCCAAAACAATGGCCCTTGGGCGTGGAACACGGGCCACCACAGAGCGATTGGATCCATCCACAGCCATTGAACAGATAGTCTGATTTAGATAGTCACTGTAGTACAGTCTGTTGTTGATCCAGTCAAAGGCTATGCCATCTGGAGTTCCTAAATCTTAAGCAGCATTGAACAGTGCAACAGTGAGAACAAATACAACTCTGCCTGAAAATTTTCTCATATCACTATGTCCAAACCCCTCTCCTATTCCGCCTTAGTTACTAGTAGGAGTTTTATCTAAAAAAACAGCTTTTTACTCCAAAGGAGTTTACTCCCATACTGACTCCATGAAACATCCTTCAAGAGATGGTAAAAGTATGAATATTCCCTAACTTGGCAACTTCTCCATTATACCCATGTACTTTAATTTTTCATTACCTTCATGTGCTGTGTGTGTGTGGGCAGGGGGAGAGGGAGCACAAGTGAACAGAAGATCTATAATACTGTTAGCAATCAGAGAAGTAAACAATCCAAAGCACATTTACTTTGGCAAAAGCAACTTCCACTGAAATCATGGCGATCTAATTACAAGCAAATGTATTTAGGATTTGCATAAACTGTGACTCTAGTAATATCCCGACAGTACAATCATTTTATGTTCCAGTAGAAGCACAATATAAAACAAAATTATTTGTAAATATTCTAACATAGAAATATAGAACATATAGAAAAATAGAATTTCTATTCTAACATAAAAGTATAAAATAGTTCTCTGTAAATAGCATTAGGACTATAAACTAAGTCTTCCTAGGATTGTGTATCAAACAACCCCCACTCAGCCAGTTAGTACCCAATCCTAATTATATTGTGCCATGGTAGTAGTAGTGATGATAATGATATTGTAATGATAATAATGATAAATATTTACTCAGTGCAGAATTACCATTAAGTTTAATGGGACTTCCATCCTGCTAATTATACTTACAATTGCAGCTTTATTCTGGTAACTGCTGCAAATGATATTGCACAGATGCAATTTCAATAATCAATCAAATGATCAGGTAGCAATGCTATGTGAATTTGACATTAGGTCACATTGCACTCAGTGTTCTGACATTTCACGCTCTTTACCTGATGCCACTATGGTTGGTTCAGAAGCTCCAGAAGAGATACTAATAGAACTGATTCTTCCTGTGCCTTCAGGAGAACTTTGAGTGAAATAGATTACGTTGTTCACACTGTCATAATCCAAAGCAACTGCAGTTCTTAATACATTGATTGTACGAAATGGAGGGCTATGATTCTCAGGATCCAAACGTATGCTTCTAAGGGCATTTTCCAAGGCAAAGATCAAGTAGTTGTCCGTTGAAATTGAACACGTTTTACCGTCACTTTCTAACAATCCAAATGCACACCCACACTTTGGCATTTGCAGATCAGGAAGTGCAAAACACAGATGGGAACAGCCTCCATTGTTCTCAAGGCATGGATTGTTGTTGATGTCAACAGGCAACTGTGACTGATAATGGCTGTTGTAAATGGTAACATCTCTCAGCCAATTGATATTGTCCCGTATCACTGTTGGCTGTTCAGTATTTCCTGGCTCTTTGCTGGCTTGAAAGATTTTTTTCAAATTCCTATCCACCCAGATCATAGAGTTTTCAAAAATAGTAATGCCATATGGAGTTGGGTAACGGCTTCCATAGCGGACAATTTCAGGCTCTCCACCATCATGTGAAATTCTTGCAATCATATCTAAAGAATCATCCACCCAATAAACATATCCAGTGCTGTGATCTACTGCTACGCCACGAGGCGTAACAATTCCTTCAGATACTAGCACGGTCCTATTTGTGCAGTCTAGAAGTGCACGTTCAATCTTAGGGTTCTGTCCATAATCAGCCCAGAAGAGGTATCTATTTTTGGGGTCTACTACAATATGTCTTGGCATATCCACAGTGGTTTTAAGTAGGACGCGGCGGTAAGTAGTATTTAAACGCAGAACTTCTATAAATGTCTCGATCAAGAATGCATTGGTAAAATAGAGATTTCCTGTGCACAGTAAAAGAAAATATAAAACATTGCAATATAAGTGTCAGATCCAACTACAATAATTGAAATTATTAAATGTCTGAGTGCATGCGCGTGTAAATGCGTTCATGTGTGTGTGAGTAAACTTTCAGAAAGATTCTGCAACTTAGGTCCTTTTTAACTGTAAACATTCTTTAATTACCGTTAGGTGAGATAAGCCGCTTGTTGTAAGCCGCCCCGAGGCTTCGGCGAATGGGGCGGCATAAAAATGTTTTAATAAATAAATAAATAAATAAATATAACTGAATACATGAAGTATAGTTAAGGATAAGCCACAAACCAACTTGCTTCTATGCAGACTTGCAAAATTTGGTTTACATTATCAATTTTAGGCTTTATACTCAGTCTTACATTACCAGTCCGAACCCTCCCCACCCACCTCAGCATTCCTCTTTAGCCCTCTTCAGGGGTTTCTGACCTCAGAGAGACAGCTGGAGTGAGATTCCAAATAATCCTCGGGGTCCCTGACAATTATCAGGAGGCCATAAGATTGTGCCCTTATTTAGTCTTTGGGCATACACACAAAGCCCGAATTCTCATATCACATTATACATTACAATGCAGTAATTAAAAAATCACTTGCGATGTCTGTTCCAACATCTACAATGGAATCCGATGAAAAGGAAAGAATTCTAGGAATCAGAAAACAATTCTTGCATGAAGGCATCAAATAATAATGTGGTGCATGGTATTGAAAATATTTGCTATGTGATTTGAGGTAGACCATTAACTGACGAAGGTGACTCTGGAACAAACCAGTCATAAAGGAACATTGCCAAATGAAGTCCTATGCGTAGTTATTTAGGAGGCAGCTTCATTGAGCTATGCAGAAACTAAGTAAGTTGACTTTAGAGAATCTTTTAACATGTAGTTAGTTGCATTTTGATTGACATGCTTCTGAGAGATTCTTAACAACAACATGTTTGTTGTGGAGTACCAGTACTGACCTGATACCCAGTCAATTGCAATGCCACGGATTCCGTTAAATCCTATTCCATTTGTGATGACATTTCTAAAATAGGAGCCATCTGGCTTGATTTTGCGTATTGCATTCTGTGATGGAATCCTGCTGCTGAAGTCACACCAGTAAATGAAACCAGAAGGCATGTGGACATCAACATGTAGCGCATTTCTTCCTGAAACATTATGAATAAGGAAGCTGATGTGTAAGGTAAAATATTATTTGATCCTTATGGTTTGTACTGCTTAGATCAGTTGTTGGCCTCCCGTTCCCCTTACCATTGCCCATGCTGACAGGGGCTGATGGAAATTTGTGTCCAACATTTGGAGGGATAAGTTTTTTTCTCAATTTAATTTTTTCTCAATTAATTTTTTTCTCAATTTAATTTCAGGGGTAGGAAAACTGAAATTAAACCACAACTCACATTGCCAGCCATATCTTAAACCTTGTCCTAAAACAACCCTACTTTTTTCACTACACTTAGGAGCCTTTTCTCATCCTTTGATTTAGAAGCGAAAATCCATTATTCTCTCCCCTGCTGCTTTCCTTTTCCAAGTAACAGCTGGCCCATTTGCAAGAGTGTTCTGATGGATCAATAGTTTCTCTGCCTTACCATTTGTGTTCATTTTAAAGTTCATTCAAAGCTTGATAACCTTTTCCTGATTATGATCAATTTCAATAGGACACATGAAACTGATTTTATAGGGATCTACAGCTGTCTCACACACACTTTATCATTACTTGATGACAGTGAATGTGCTCTCACAGGTACTACATCAGGAAAAAAGGAAAGCACAGTGAACTGAGACTCAGACTATGATGCATAAGCAAAGAATCTTGTTAGATCAGCAAATTCAGGAAGGTTTTGCCCCTTTTTAGCTGATATTAGTTGATTAATATGGGTCCTTAATTTGACTGGGATCCATAAATAGTCAAGACTTCAGTAAATGGAATTAAGCTGGTATGGTGGCTTTGGTTATTTAACCTCAAGCATAATATGCAGCTGGAATAAATTTTAATGGACCATGAACATGATCTGCCTCAGAAGTGAATTTAGTTGATTTAGGCTTACTTGATGCACCACTGTCAGAGTCTGGCCATACCAGACCCAGACCCTTGGAAAAGAGAAAGGGGAGCAGAGCACCACAGTCAACCACTGCACTGCCAGTAATTCTGAGGAGACCAAGCTTCCTATAAAAGCTTTGGACTCCAACATTCCTGCCTGGCTGAAAACCAGGAAAGGGCAACATTCCCAGTTCCTATATAAGCCCTCATTCTGAATCAGGCAACAACTGATACAACAGCTCTCTTGGGGCTCCTTTCCAGGCTCCTCCTCATAGTCAGTCAGTGGCTGGGTTTATTCTGCTCTCAAACAGCCAGTGTGGCGTAATAGTTAGTGTGCTAGACTGGGACTGAGGCAACTCTGGTTCAAGTCCCCACTCAGCCATGAAGCCCACTGGGTGTCTTTGTGCCAGTCACCAACTCTCAGGTCAACATACCTCACAAGACCATTGGGAAGATAAAATGGGGGAGAAGAGGATCATGGGCTCCTTGTAGAAAAAGGTGGAACATACATTTAATAAATGCCCACCTCCCTTGCAGGATCAGGGAATGAACAACTCTCTTCAAAATATTCTAGCACATTTCTGCATAGGACATTCAATGTCTGACATCCACTTTAAAAGCTGTTGTCCTACATGGAAAATCTCCATTCCAGTACCAGTGGCCATCTGAAATGCTTACTGCTGACCTAGAAACTCTCCATATTATGGGCTCCTTGTATCAGCCTTGGTCCCTGACCTCTATTTCTAGCCAAAGACAAAACCTGCCCTTTGTTTCCCATCTGCCCATGTCTCAGCATTAACTCCACTGACGTCTATTTTCTCTTAAAAGGAATTACCTCAGACCAGAATAATTCTGCTTTGCCAACTTGTGAATCTGACTTTTAGTCTCAGAACATGAAATGCACACCTATTTTATAAGAAGTACACAAAGTATTATCCATCCACAATGGTGAGATACTAAGGCATAAATGGATTTCATTCATCTCCTATAATCTTTACCTACCTCTTCCTGCTAAAGGGACCATTGCTTCAGAATGGTCAGATGTCTCTAAGCTAAATCCTTTAATTGCAGACAGCATGGAAACAACGACAAAGGAGCTGTATGGGGAGCAGGTCCTATTATCAGGATTTAACTGAAAGCCAGTAGCACACGCACAAGTGAAGAGTCCACCAGGCACAGGCAGGCACAGATGCTGGCAAATCCCAATGTTGTTACTGCAGCCATTTGAGGAACCAGCAGATTCTAAAGCGGGAGAGACACATCCGTATCGAAACTGAAATAACCCCCATATTGCAATCATCCAACAACAATAACAAAAAGGAGTGTGTTTGTGTGTGCTTAAAGAGAAAATAGCTGAACTTATAAAGATACTCCCTGCCCCCTGCCACATGCAAAACATCAGTGCCCTGCTAGAAAGTGGTATATTTGGCAATAGTAAGATATAGAGCTGTGGTGATGGGATTCTCTTCTCAGGAAAGCCCACTTGGAATGCTCTCCACCCAACCTTAGAAGACTAGGGGAAATATGCCTTGCTAAGATGGGCTTTGGGATCTGCAGTGCTGGACTACTGCCTTATGTTTCTTTGTTTTCAGTAAGTGAGATTTTACTTTAGTGTTGACTTATAGGTATTTGGGGTTTTTTTAATTGTAAGGTGCCAAAGGGGCATGAATTGGCTGATCTAGTGGTGCAAAGCCTGTACAATTTATCTAAAAAATGTATAACTGAAATAAACTGCTCCAACTGATGCTGCTCAATCTGAATGGCTACTCTGGCTGCAATTCAAAGATTTGATCCCTTTTGTCTATAGAGTTCATAAATTAGGAGGCAAAATTGTTCTCTCTTGATTTTTAAAATCATTATTTAACACTACCTGTTATTAAAGCAAGATGCTTGGGGCAAATAAATCAAGTTCATTGCAAAAGCTTTCACAGGTCACACCATAAACTCACTGTCTCGGTAATATACTCGCAGACATTTCAGTCCTGGAGTGTTGTCTCTCAGCACAACTTTGTTTCCTCCAGTGGACTTGTCAACACGCTCAATGACCTCATAATCCCGGTCAGTGTAATACAGAAAAGAATCATAGACAGCCACTCCCCATGGGTGAGACAGGTGCACAACCAAAGTCATCCGATTAGTGCCATCTACATTCCCTCGTTCAATCTAGGAGATTAAGGACACTGATAATTACAAATGACAATGAAGTCCAATCCCTCCTCACTTACGTATACATCTGCAATAAACGAAGTATAACATGTGTCGACAATTCCCTTCCCCACCCATTCCTTCCCATTACCTGAACAATGTTCAGAGCCACCCAAAGTCAACTCAAATAAAAAACATTTAGGATTCAATCCTATGCACAGTTAAAACAGAAAAAAAACATAGCTGGCAGGGAGATGCTGAAAGGTATAGGGCTTTTTTTCTGCCTAAATTAAATAGGATTCTATCTTTAGATGATATAAACAAAAACAACAGTTCAGAGGAAGATAGTTAACTTTAGTTAAATCAGGGTTAGTTCCTTGTATAACATTATCAAAAACATACATTAAGGTCAGTATTTATCCACATTTCTCCTGCAGAAGGCCAATTTCTCTTCTGTTTGAGAAGAAGGTGGATTACTACACCATCAGTTTTAAATGCAAGGCAGACAATGTGGTGTAGATATTTCTGTTCTTATGTTTTAGGTTTTGAGCTGTTGATAGAGATTTGCAAAAATTATAAAGTTGGGGCTTTGGCCTGGCATTCTTTAAAGTGGCCGCATGCAAAAATGAAGGTTCTTAAGCAACTAACAAATATAAACCAAAGCCCTTTCAGCTGCAAAGAGACTCCAGGAAAGGATGCCTGTGATGTCCACTACCCTGCACCTTAGATATGGAATGTTTTCCTGTGGTTTTTCACACTAATTGAAACATCCAAGGCAAGCAAGTTAGGCATTCATACAGTAAAATGGTCCTGTTTGTAGATGATATGATCTTTGGCATAACTAATTGAAAATAAGCAGTACGGGGAATGTTACTGCTTGAGGGAACGCTTCTGTTACAAAACTAATTACCATTACTCAAAGGGAAGTACTATCAATCTATTTGTTGTTGGGCAAACCAGTCTAGAAATTTCTCTGTGTGTGGGACATCAAGAGATGTGGGATTCTCATCCCTGTGGCTCCATGAATTAGTTCAATTCCGCTATCAGTTCTTATCATTCTGGCATGCAAATTTGGAGTTAAGATATGCTATCACAGATAGCCAAAATAGCTACTGTAAATATGAGTATTATTTTTTATTTGTTTGTTAGATTCATATCCCACCTTTTCTCTCAAAGTGACTGACATCATTCTTCTCCTCCAGCTCAAAATCTTATCTCCACAACAATCCCTGTAGGATAGGTTGGGCTGAGAGTCTGTGATTAGCCCAACGTCACACAGTTGGATCCATGGCTGAGTGGAGACTAGAACCAGATCACTTGGGTCCCAGTCCCATGTTCTTAACCACCACACCACACTGGCTATCCAGTTATCCAATACAGTGGGATTCTGGGAATATATTTTTAACCACCACCACATCCTTTCTTTCCAGAAAGAGTCATACACTCATTTACACACTCCTTTCTTCTTTCAAATAATTCCAATTCATCATCCTAGCCAAAAGGAACAAATTATTATCAGATTCTATCTGGCCAGGACAGAAGCCAAGGCTGAAGTGAGTGAGCCTGGGCAAACCTGGAGAACAACAGGCAATGGGCAGCCCCTGCTGAACACCACACCACGGGCCAGACACAGTGACAGACCTAAGTGCCCAGTAAGTAGAGTCACTTTACCTACTAGGAAAAACTGGCGGAAAAAATGGTTCCTGGTTTGTCTCCACTAACAAGAGTGCTGCATCATTCAGAATTTGCAGCACAAACAATTTCCAAGGATTTCAACACTGGACAGTAATTAACACTTAAGCCCTGCTGAATATCGGGGGTCAAATCACTGTACATCTGAACAGGCATGTGTAGGATTGCTCTGTTCCGCTTTTTTTCTTTTAACTTTGAAATATCCTTTGGAAATTGGCTATGCAGAATGTATTGCAGATGTATCAGCAACTCCATTCTGAACACAGGTAACCAATTCAGGTCTTTTCCCTAATATTAATCATCTCATCATGCCTACTTTAATGCAGGTAACTCTTCTGCTACATTAGGCAGCAGGACCCAGGTTCACCAATACATATAAGCATGCATGTGCATACATACCACTCCCGTGCTTGTGACTGGCCAGTACAGCTTTTGCTCCTTGATATCAATGGTGATAAACCCTACATGGTCTAGATTACCAGTGAAGAGGGTTCTGATATCTGAGCCATCCATGTTTGCACTGGCAATCTTGGCTGGGACCCCACTGTCAGTTCCTTGGTCTGTCCAGTACAGCTTCCTGCAACACACGTCATCTCATCAATCAAAAATCAGGTGTGAGAATGCCTGTGAGGGTTCTCAGTAACCATTCTGCAATCCTAGGCATTCAGACCAAGATACACTGTCCGCCTGGTGCCGTCGTTATTTGTTTTCCGGCGCCAGGCGAAGACCTTTTTATTTAAACGTCATTTTAATTGTTAATATTTATTTATTTTATATCTCTGGCCAGGTCGTCTCAAATTATATTGTTTTTATATTATGATTATTTATTTATTGTTGTGAGCTGCCCCGAGGCTTCAGCGAATGGGGCGGCATAGAAGCTTCCTAAATAAATAAATAAACAAACAAACAAACTGGACATAAGCATGCACAGAATTGCATGCATATAGATATATTAAGCAATCATACATGGGGCTACAGTGTAAGAAACAGGATTTCTCACTCAAGCCGATAAGAACAACAACTCTCCTCCTTTCATAGTAACACTAGAGTAGCATCCTATACCACCACTACGCCGCCACTCATTCTGTTGCACCTGCGCAACAACAGGGCAGCTGCACTTCCTAAATGTACCCCGGAAGGAGTTTGAAACACTTATTTCTGGAATGGGAAGCTCCACTGCCAGACAACTAGAGACAGGCTAACTTTGTCCCCATCTTCAAAAAGGGGAAAAATGAACCTGGGAACTACGGGCCAGTTAGTCTGACATCAATCCCTGGAAAAATTCTGGAGCGAATGATTAAAAAACCACTCTGCAAGCACCAAATATTAAACCATAGGAGCCTACACAAATATTAAGTTTAAACTTAACATTTTATGCAACCAGTAAATATAGTGAAAGCACACAACTTTTTGAAGAGTAAGTTTTATAGACAATCTAAAAGTCATCCTAATTAGGACAGGGGCAGAATCCAAAAGCTTATAAAGAAAAACATTCTTGGATGCAATCCTATGCATAGCTGGCTGGGGATGATCAGTAATTGCAGAAACCTTTTTCTGTCTAGAAAAGTACAGGATTAGAGTAGGGTGACTGAAGTAATAGATCATTCTGTCAGTTTGCAATGAAGGGAGGAACAGACTTGGAGTTTTGATTCCACTGTGATTTAGAAAGAAGTTCCATTAAGGTAAACAAAGCTGGCTTCTATAGAATGAGTTTTGGATCAGGGAGCAAAGAAAATAAAACTGAAACAATTTGCTAACTCACAACTCACCCTTGAACGGGATCAACAGTTAAACCAATTGGTCTTCCAGATCCTCTAGATGTACCATCATTGGTTATCAGTGTTTTTCGGTAGATTACTTCGCTATGAAGCTTCAGGACCTAAAGAACATAAGAAGTCTGCGTATATGGTGCAAAAGTTAAGGAAGACACCTTAAGTTACAATTTCAATGCTTCTTAATGCATGGTTGAATTTGTAAGCACCTTAACTATATTGGTAAAACATTTTAAACCCTAAAATTATTGTCCTAACGTTGTAATACATACCTCAATGGACTGTGTGTCAGGATTGCTGTAGTACAAGTTTCCAGATATCCAGTCTAAAGCCAGGCCCATAGGGGTCCCAATAACAGCAGCTGGGGCAAATGTTGTCCTGTTTGTACCATCTGACTTTACTCTATGAATTTCACCCTTAGAACAGAGTTGAAAATATAAAGACTTAGCAGAAGGAAGAAAACCATGCACTATTTTCTCCTAACAAATGCATACTGTAATGTTACAAGCTCTCGAAAGGAGTATTTCAGACTGCTACTTCAGCTGACTACAAGTATAAAAAGAATGAAAAAGAGTACTCAGATCTGATATAGTGTGGCCCTATACTAATCTACATAGCTCTACTCCATTTAGAAATAGGTCCCATTGGACTGAATGGGATTACTTTCTGAATGGCACTGTACTGAGCTCAGTGGGACTTACTCCCAAATAAGTATGCACAGTTGGATTATTTCTATTTACATCCCAGTCTGAAGTAAACATGTGGTAGCAAAAGAAATGAGGGAAGAAAATAGGGTAGAAAGACAGGAAGGCACCAGGAAAGTTGGGAGGTCAGCCTTCCTAGCTCCTGCCTAGAGCAGTTTCCCCCAGTCTGATGCCCTTCAGATATTATGAATGTCAGCTCCCATCAACCCTAGCTGTAGCGTGGCCAATGATCAAGGATGTTGCAAGTTGTAGTCCAAGACATCTGGGAAAACCAAGTTGGGGAAGGATGGTCTCTAGGTAGGGATATACAAGAATTCATTTGCAAGCAGAATGAAAACTTGATTGACTTTTTCTAGATTCATCTTGGCAAAAAATCTTTCCTTCTGTCCGAAGTATCACCTCAATCCATCACAAATTGACCCCATTCATGGAGTCTGGTGGGGGATTTTTAATGATGGAAATGTAGTCAAATTGGATTTTTAAAAATCTTAAATTTGTACAAATGGTTTTTTGTTGTTTGTTTGTTTAGTTTCCCCAGTCATTCACAAGTACCCATATTAAGTTGTCCAAAGTAGTCTTGCCTTGTTAATTTGAACAAGTATGGAGGCTGGAAAGTAAATTTGTGCAGATTTACACATAGAGAAGTAACTGCAAGGGAAATTCACACAGCTACTCTGAGAAAAAGTAGTAGAAAGATTAAACTTTCTTTTCTGGACTTGCTAGGGACTCAAGAAAGTATTGAAAGGGAGGTAGACACTGTCAAGTGTCAGTTCAGCATTTAATATCTGAATTGCACACATGGGTTTCTCCTTTGTCTTACTATTATTTTCTCCCAAGTCTTAGCCTACATACAGCCTTGCCTTTTCAATTTTCTTGTACTTTACATAGTCTAGTGCTTCTCTTGACAACTGAAATACACAAAGACATTAACTAGACCAAAATATGTATCTTGGACAGCTGCATCTGCCACCCAAACATAACAGAATTCTCCATGCTGCGTATATCTACCATAGTATCCATTTCTTCCACTAGATTTACAAAGCACAGGCTTTCCAGTTGATAGCCATAGAAAATAACAGCATTTACTCACTGGATTTTCAACCCAGTAGATAAACTGTTCCGTATCGTCAAAGTCAACATCATATCCATTCCGAACTCCTGCTATAGGAACCATGGCATCATTTGTCTTTTCCTCAGGGTTCAGAGAAATGCCATAAATTATGTTATCTCTTACAGCTATAAGGAATGGTTGTTCAACTGTAAAACAGCAACATAAGCAGCAATGTTTCAACTTTCCATGCACTGTACAGACAACAAAACAAAATTCTGTTGTCTGTGAATTCATGGGGGCATTTAAAAACATAAATGTAGGTCACAGTCACTGAAACACAACTGGGTACCTAAGAGTATGCTTTACATAAGGTTGGATTCTTTGTTCACCTACCCAGTGTTATTTTTTCTGACTAGCAGTAACTGTAGAGCTCAGGAGCCAGAGGTTTTTTAATCTAGTCAAACTGAAGGCTGAAGCCTTCAATATGCAAGGCATGTAAGTATTATTCCACTGACGTTACATAAGCCATAGTGTATCAGAGCACTCCTGAGAAACATAAGAGTGCCAGTTCACTATTCAAGTCCTATTGGTTTCAATATGGGCTTAAGGACACCTAATTCCCTCTGAACTGGGCCTTTTAACTTCTATTGCATGTTTTCAGTATATAATACAAGATGTGATGCTTTTGGAATGTGGAAATTACATATATTAAAATCATTCTGGCATGTACTTTAATTATTTTTCAAATAAAATGCCTACTGAGATTGCTTGGTGGTACAAGCAGAACTTTAAAATTGATGAATGAGTAAGATATATGACAGAGAGGATACCAATAAAATATGGGCACAATTTTTCCAATGTTCTCAGGAATATGATCAAGAATCTAGAGAAGCCTTTATCTGACAATAAAAGATTTTCTAAATAAATAAATATTTTCAGCTACAGCACTTATGATCCCACCTCTCATGCAGTTCACGTGATCAGGGGAGAGAGTCCATCCAGAACGGCAGGCACAAGAATAAAAAAGTGGCCCTGATGAAGAAAGCAAACACAGGTGGCTACACGGAGATCGATCACAAAAGTTGGTACCTGAAAGATAAAATTGGTAAATTCAAAAAACAGCAAAGTAGCATGTTATGGCATAAATAGGTGAAGTTATGCAAGACCGCTGGCAGGTCATGTCTAGATTTCCAACTAGATTGCCTCTGCACCATCTCATAAAGATTCTGATTTATCTTGAGTATTTCTCTTTTGGGGACAACAGTGGAGCTGCTTGAGGCAAGCTTCTGAGAAGAGCTTCCCCTTGCTGTTTTGTACTCATGAACTATATACCACTTTTCTTCAGCAGACTACTCTTAAAAAGAGTTGGTTCTTTCTACTCCTGATTTCAGTCTGAGCAATAAGGATGTCAGCATGAGGGTGTGTGACTTCTTTAAATTGAAGGATAAGGAATAACAAAATAAGGAAAAGGAATAATAAAATAAGGAAAACTTTTATGTTTTTGGTTGGCACTAATTCTTTTTGAGAAAAAATATTAATATAAATAAAATCAATCCCTCTCAAAACTAGCTCGTGTGCTCTCTCTCTCTGACACACACACACGCACACACCCCACCACCACCACACACAATGCGAAAGGACAATCACTACCAAAGAAAAACACTTTTACGTTAAGAGCATTTAAAAAAAAAATCCAGTGAGCTTTATTTCGAATGTTGCTAAATTTGTTCTATCCATGCATTGTGGGGTTTCAAGCACTTTCATTCTATTGTCTGCTCATTGATTGCATTTTTTGTGAAAATGCGTGCACATTTGCAGTAATTTAGAGTTGTGCAAATTTACCCTTGCCGAAACATGCAAGTCTCCTCCAAATATGCAAATCCCCTGAAAATGTGCATTGTCATATTTTAGCCTATGGAGGAAATGTGCACTTCCATCTATTTCATCTATTCTTACATATGATTTTGTATAAAACTGAGTAAAATTAAAACGCAGCCTGTGAGTCCACAGAAGTCAGGAAAAACTGATCTACTGTGAAATCTGCAGGTTAGTTTTTTAGAAATTTAAACTAATTTATTCCACTGGAGATCTCCCTGGCATCCCAGCCTCAAAAAAACTACCAAGGCTAATTCTTATAGGCAACAATATACTGAGCATGAACCACAAGTAATTTCAAGCCTGTATCACAATTAACTTTTAGAAGAGAACAAAGTTTATTTAATATCATGAGGGTTAGGGTTAGCCACCTTCCCCAATCTGGTGGCCTTCAAAGACATCTGGACCACAACTCCCAGAATTCCATTCCAGCAGGGCTATCACTTGGAAATTCTGGGTGTTGCAGTCCAAATCTGTCTTAAAGGCACAAGGTTGAGGAAGACTGGTCTATAGGATTCTCAAGTACTTTGGTCTTGGTGGTTAGTATGACCACCATTACAGCTGAAAGAGTTCAAGTGTTCACTTAATGTTTAGTAACATTTATACTGCCTACGTTGCTTTTCTGTTGCCAGATTAGCTGGCTAAGCTTACCAGTAGGCTGTTTCACAGGGTGGACTGCAACAATGCCCAGAGGTTGGTGAATATTATAAATCATGACTGTTTGATTTCTTCCATGCCACTTGTTGGCTCGAAGCACTCGGTGGGTGTATCGGTCAGTCCAGTATACAAAATCTTCAAAAAGAGTGAGTGCATGAGGATGCCGCAAAATCTAGAAAAGGTAGGCATAGGGTACATTTGTATTGTTGCTGCCCAGAAGTGGCACATTTCAAAATGTGGTTCTAAAACAGGGCTAGCTCAAGCTATAGTTCCATGTGATTTCTAAGCAAAATCTACAGGCTTTTTTTTTTTTTTTTTGGTCAACCTCTAAAATGCCCCCACATGACATACTGGTCTCATGCTTTTTCCCAATTGCAGTTAAACCACATATGTGGACGGTAAACCATATGAAATCCCCATACATGACCTGCTGCAATATAATGGTGACTGATGGACTTGGGAGAGAAGGTCCTCAGGTTCAGGTCTCTCTCAGCCAGATTTGGTGAGACTCACCTTGGCACAGTGTAATACAGGGACTGGCCAGCTAGCATTTGCATAGTATGATCACCTATTTCCCCCCTTTACTTGATTTGTTTTCATACCAAGTCACTTGCCACCACCTGCCGCCTATTGTTTCCATTGTAATCACAGAAATCAATGTAGTCGAGATAGGCATCTGCAAAATACAGCAACTTGTTGGGGTAGTCAATGGAAAGTCCATTGGGCCAATAGATCTTATTACTGATGATGGTGGTTCTCAATTTGCCGTCCATGCTTGCTCTTTCAATTCGAGGATTCCGACCCCAGTCTGTCCAGAACATCACATGAGCACTGTGAAAAATAACTGATTAATGATGACAGGAAACAACATTTTTATACAAGAAAGGTCAGAACAGAATTCAGAAATTGCAGAGGTTTATGGTAAAGAACCCATCTGCCTTTGGTTCTGCAGCTTTCCCAAAGGATAAAGATCCAAGAAATGGAAATTTCTCATTTCTGCTTTATAGAAATATTGTGAGATTGCAATATCTGGAGCTTTTTAGCTTAAAAAGGTTTATGGGAGGGGAGATAATAAAGGTGCATAAAGTTAAACATGGTGCAGAGAAAATGGCAAGAGTTTTTCTCCCTTTCTCAAAATAACTATAGCTCAGCTCATTCGATGAAACTAAGTGGTAGGAGGTTCTGGACAGACAAATGGAGATACTTTTTCCACACAGAACATAGCTGAATTTTGGAAATTGCTACATAAGATACAGTGGTGGCCACCAACCAAGACAGATGACTAGACAAGTTTATGGAAGGTATCTGTGGCTACTAGTCATGTTCTCTCCTGTACATGAGAAAGCATGACAGTGTACCAGTTGCTGGGGAACATGAGCAGGAAGGGGATATTACACCCATGACCTACTTGTAGGATCCCCACAAGTAGCTGGTTGACAGTTGTGTAGAGAATGCAGGGCTAAATAGGCTGTTGAATTCATTTGGCAAGGCTCTTGGGTTTTTATGCAGTGTGATCATGCATGTGGAGTATTCTGAACCCTTGAAAATGTTATAAAAGTATTATTATTTGTATCATTACTATTATTCTTCCTATTCTCAATTTATAAGCCAGACACTGAAGATGCTTAGTTCCAAATGTAAATGAAACATTAATTGTAATTAGCAAGTTAGGCCTATTTGCACTATTTGAATAAGCATGTTATAATACCCTAAACATGTTTGAAGGTTGTCTAGTTATGCTACCCAGGTTTGGAGAGCACGATGGGACACACACCAGGCAAATAAATGTGTCCAGCATGCTCTGGAGATTAAAATAAGTCATTTAGACTTATAATTGCTTAGATTATATAAACCAGGTTACTATGTTAAATAGGCAGTGTATAGAGAATTAAAATCTTCCTTTTGCTTTTGTGTAAGTTTGAAACTCCCTGATTCGGGTAGAGAAGATTAAACCATCCCATCGGCACTTTTTCCATTTAAATTCACTCCCACACAACTCATGAGTGGGCTTAAGAAAGGAGAAAAGCCTCCACTGAATGCAATAGGACCCAGTACTGAGTAAGAATGCCCAGGATTGCATGGCACATCTCTTTTATTCAGTAATTTTGTATTATACTGCCCATCTCAAGGAGATCCATTGGACTGGTATCCTACCAACTTATATATCACCAAAAGCATATCAACTATTATAAAATAATGCGTGTTCAGATGCAAAGGTACATTTAAAAAAATAAAACCTTACTCTGTCCTGGGATCTAAAACTAGCCCCCTTGGGTTTGTGACATTTTCACTGATCAGCACAGTCCTATGGCTCCCATCAAGTCTGGAAACTTCAATGGTTTCGAGAACATAGTCCATCCAGTAAAGATTCCGGCCTACCCAGTCCACTGCTATGCTTTCCGTTACAGTGACACCACTGTCGAACACCTGCCAAAAGCAATGAAGAACCAGCTGATGCTCTTGTTATCCTGTACTGCTGGAGCAAAACTTTGACAGACAAATAGGTTGGGGGTGAATGATATTAATAAAAAAGCTAAGGTAAGCAATCTATGTGCACAAAGGAAATAATTCACAAAACAACAAAAATATTGTTTTCTATTTTTAAATGACCTATTTAAACAAATGGCTTGTATCTGGATGCAGTTTACCATCTTGTGTTTAGAAAACAAATAAGAGTAATGTTAACAGATATAGCAATACATCAAGAAAAAGCAGGGGTCTGGTTCCACAGGAGCAAAGACACCATCCATCAAAACAAAAACAAAAGCCAGAGCTACTATCAATTCCTTAATAAGAAATATATATTTCGCCTCATATATTTTGAGCTGGAATTCCTTTATCAGGGTGGGTTATAATCTAGAAAGCAGTATGTTAATAGTAAAATTGCCAAAGCACTTACATATTGATTTATACAAAAGCCTGCAAACATCAAGAAAATTTTAAACTGATTTGTGGATCCCTGAGAACTGAAATGTGGGACAGAAATGAAACAACCACCAGTTTTAAAATAGGAATTAAAAAGGACAATACAACCAAAATTATTGGTAAAAATGATTCTAAGCTAGGAATTTATATAAACACTAGGTAGTATGTTTAACATTGTGCACAACAGAGCTCTACTCTCCATCCTATCCCTTAACGGTAGATGCACTAGGGCCATTACAGAGAGAAGGCCCTGGTGTGCTGCACTTGTCCATGTTCATCCTCTCCACTCAATGAAGAAATGCAAAGGACAATGTTTACAGTGAGAACACAGCCTCCTTCATACATTAGATGCATGAATGTGATCAAATGTGTTTCCTGGGAAGCGGTGCCACACCACTGCCCCAGGTCCAGCACAGTGTGTTCACACCAACCCCACCAACTTAACATCGATGTCTCTGAAAAGGAAAGCCAAGGCATAAGCCGGTGCATGTGCACTGGCACCCCAAGCGGCAATAACACACAACTTGTGTCCACATCCTGTAAGAGACTTACTACTCTTCTGTCCGTCCCATTCTGGTATGCACTCCAAATCTTGTCTTGTGAAATGTCAGACCAAAATATTCTCTCCGTCGCGGAATCAAAATCAAGAGCAACAATATTCCTTCCATCTCGAACCAAGGAATAAATGCGTTGTGCGTTAGAAGTTACGTTGTTAACAACAATTTGGTTGCGGCTTGCCACCAACAAGAGAAGATTCCCAGATTCTGCGAAAGAGGTAAATACAAACAAACAAACTTTTAACTAGCAACTGCTGGAGGAAATTCCAATCATAAAATTGCTACAATGGATTGGCACAGGCATTATTTCTTGGTGTGAGTGGTCTGGTCAGATTTGGTTTGAAGCAGCTTCCTATGCTGCACAAACAAAAATGGGAATGTTTGGCTCATTACATTTATGACAGGCAATGTGATGAAATTAGTACAATAGTATTTTCCTCCCTGCTGCAACCAAGAGCCAGTGCTGAGATCCTCAGAGGAACAGGAAGCAACAACCCCTTCCATTGTACATCAATTAAATTCCATGACCGGTCGATTTTAACAAGTAAAAATCTTGTGCTTGATTTCTTCCCTCCCTTCTCCCTCCCAACCCTGTTTCTTTCAGTTGCGTCTTTTAATTTCTGAGGTGTATAAGTCACTCCCGTTGCCTTTTCGGCTGAAGAAGAGGGACAAATACTATAAATAAATAAATGTGCTATATTAGCACTTCCCACTTTGGCAACATTATTTGCCATCTAGACAGAGGTTTGAGGCTCTTGCTCAGAATGTGCTTCAACATGCCATAATTCACACCAAAGCAAAGGGGAATGCCTGTAAGTATTGTCTATTCTCAGTACAAATACACATGACAATGACTGCATGCTAATTTTTAATCACTGAATTTAAAAAGTAAACCCTGAACAAGTGAACAGACATGCAACCGTTGGAGTCGCATCAGCATGAATGCATTTTCATATCGCCTTCTAAATTTTTAAAATCACAACTCAACTTGATCTCCTCAAATCTGTAACAATAAACATAATTACTAATCTTACACCTAATATATTTATAGGTGTAATATATTTAATGACTTAACAGGGTCAAATGTTACCCTCTTGCCAACTTTCGGCGTGCAACAGCTCCATTACAGAGGCCAACACACGGTTATAGATCTGTGCCTGCATCTACACTGTCTAATCAGTCCTCACCTGCTACTTTGCAAGTCTTCCCATTGGGTTCTAACACATAACCTTCATCACAGAAGCACCTAAAAGATCCTCTTTCATTATGGCAGTGCTGGCTACAAAACCCTGGAGGGTAACATTCATTAATATCTTCACAAGTTTTGGAATCATTGGCAAGCTGGTATCCAAATGGACATGAACACTGGGCTCCAAAGGGTCCTTGAATGCACTGATGTGTGCAGCCCGCATTATTATCAGAACAGCTCTCTTGGTCTGTAAATAAATGGGAAAGATTCATAAAATATTCTGCAAGGAAATCTTTCCCCTTACCTAAAATACATAAAATGGAGTCATCGCAAGTACTGAACAACAGATACTATATGCATAGGAAATGGGCTAGACAGAAAGTTGCAAAAGACTGATTGAAATTAATGAGATGTTTTAGTCATGCCTACCTTTGGGTCCCATGGATCTCAATAAGTCTGAATCCCACCCAGTTTGTTTAGCACTAAATGCTACCCATAAAATTTTATATTTAATACATTATATGAATCTTTATATTATACAACTAAAATGTTTTAGGACAGGTAAATGCTGTTTAAGCTTGTCAGGAGTTAAAGTTCTAGCTGGTATGGAAGATTTGATTTTCCTGTGGATTGTCATTTCAAAGATGCTATCTGTGTGGCACCAGTGGAGGTTTCTGAAAATTATCATCAGTTAACAGACAATTGAGAATAACAGCTATGGTTCAGCATTTTTACAAGATACAGCAAGAAAATTTAAACAGAAATCTATCCTGTCTTTTTTGGGGTGGACAAACAAAACATTATTTCAGAATCCTAGCAATAGTTTTCAGTTGTTTGCATGCAACAACTGGAAACACATAGAAAATATGATTGGTAAACTATCCACAGATTATGGTAAGATGTGAAGACAAAATTATTTTCTTTTTAGTTAATCACATAGCTTCTTCAAATATTTTCAGCCATCATAAACTAACCCTTCTCTATAAAAACTAGTTTTTTTTTCTTTAACATCAACAACCACCCGAAGTTTTCAGGATTCTAAGCACTGGATGCAAATTGCTCAAAAGAAACTTTTATTTTACATTCCATCCCACTGTAATATATGACAGGAGATCACTTTAGAGTAGGATTAGGAGTTATGATTATTTGAGGCTTATTTACATAAACAGGTATAGAGAGAGGAACACAGATCCTGAAGTTTTCAGTCTGAGTTTATTTTAACAAGGACAAGAGGTCAATTTGCAGCTGAAGTGGATGCAAAGTGAAGAGAATAATAAGGGATTATAGGATCACCTTTGCATCATCTTGGGATAAGTCACTGTAGTTGGAAAATAAATAAATCAGATGCTCTGAACATCTGGGCCTTTGGGTTGATGGAAGGGGTAGAAATAATAATAATAATAATTATTATTATTATTATTTACTAAGGCTATTCAGCACCCGCTTCCTACTCCAGCCTGTTGTGCCACTACCCACAAAAATGTTTGCAATGCCAGAGTATTTGATGACTGAAGGCAATGGGGAACTGGTTTCCTCTGCATAAATGGAAGCACATTGTGCAGGAATCTGGGGCATGTGGGGTTGACTGGAACTGAGATTTCATAAACAGAGGGCATACAGCTGAGCTAGTGAGGAGGGCCACATGGCCAAAACCCCAGGATTTCCTGCTCATCTCAGTCAAGGTTGTCAAAAGCAATATGCCTCTGAATACTAGTCAGTGAAAAGGGGCAGGTGACTGCTGTTGTACTCATGTGCTACTGACAGGCTTCCCACTGGTGTCTGACTGACCACTGGGCAGACAGAATGCAGGACTAGACCAGCCATTTTTCTGATCTAATATGGATCTTCTTGTGTTCCTGTCCAACTGGTTCAGAAAAATAAATCAGAACCCACTGCCTTTGGAACCATCTCTCCCATCCCTATTTTTTGCAAACAAGCTCTTAATTAACAAATGTGATTTGAAATTTGGTACCAAAACATGACATTAGTATATTTTAGGATCATACCTGGCTGTGGCTCATCTGAGAATGTGCATTGATTGATTAGAAAAAGAGAAGGAAGAGAGAAAGACATTAGGATTAAGTGTAAATCACAACAGACAGTAATTAAGACAAACATTCCTTCTGGATACTTGCAGGTCTTGAGAATTTAAAACAAATCAGGTAAAAGTTAGAAATATGAAAGAAAATATAAAAGACTGAATTGAATTCTGATTTTAAATTAAAAGCAACTACTAATCAAGGTCCAATCTCAAAAGGCAAACTCAACAAGTATTTCAAGGTATGAGTAGCAGTCTAAAATGTACTATGTTAAAGTTAACTGGAAAATTGCCTGGAATAAAAAGCATAGGCATAGTCATGAACAATTGTTTCAGGCCTGCAATATACTGGTTGGCCCACAAAATTCCTGGCTCCACAGACTGCAATTAATATACAAAATTCCTGGCTCCACAGACTGCAATTAATATACAAAATTCCTGGCTCCACAGACTGCAATTAATATACAACTTGAGGGTGACATGCACAAATACAATATATTTCTTTGTAGTAGGGTGCTCTTTACTTTATTCAATCATTATGCCAGTTTGCCCTGCTTCCTACACAAAGCTTAAGATTGCATACATAGCTTCCCCATACATCTTCAGAATGACCCTGTGAGATAAGTTAGGACAAACCTGGGTTTCCCTGTTCTCTAAAAGACTCAAAGTACCTCAACACACACAGTTACCTGGCAGGCCTGTGTATGTAAAGAAAATGCAACTTACTGCAAAGTGGTGATTCATCAGCTCCGTTAGGGCAATCAGCCAGATTGTCACATACTTTGCTCAGGTTGACACACATACTGTGGCCTGGGCATTGCCACTGCCAGCTGGGACACCGGAAAGGCTGAGTAGGACAGTCCCTTTCATCACTCATATCCCTGCAGTCATTATCACCATCACAGATCCAGGCACGGTAGATGCAGTTCCCGTTATCACAGAGGAAAAGAGAAGGAGGGCAAGTCTTGGGTGGGCACCTGTGATGCTCGTCTGAGCCATCCACACAGTCAGGATGTCCATCACATTCCCAGGTGGCAGGGATACAGTTACCATCCGACTGACACTGGAATTCATCCTGGTGGCACATCCCAGGTGGCCTTGTAGCTGAAAAAGTCACATTAAGTATGTGGGACAATATCCCCATTACATTTGTGCGAACACACCTACTATTTTTCTCAATCATTCAGGATGTCTTAGTATGTACAGTCTTGCGTGCTACATATTGCACACACGGTATTGTCTACTGTGTGCTATGTACAGCCACAGAAGATGGCAAACAAAGGATGTCAAAGGAAAATAAACAGTAAGTGAAAATGTATTGCATATATAGTATATATATTTGATATATACACTATCAAGAAGGATTCTAGTCATCTATTGCCTACTGACAAAGAAACACTGGTGTTGTTAAAATGTGCATCAGGACAAAAAACAAGCAGCAATTCATCTACTAAAAAAACTGTGTTCAGTAGGCAAGGCAACAACTGTTAAAGTGTTGTTTATTTGTTGCCAACACATTGAAACTGCTCTATTGTTTCAACAGTTTCCAAATTGTTTTACATGATTAATTTCCTTTATTGTAATATTGGGTTCCATCCATCATCATGTTAGCAGATTTGTTCTATATGGCAGAAATTCCCCTTTCTCTCTGTATGTGCCCCTCCAAATCTGCTTCAGATGGTGTTCCCAAACTCAACTTTGGGAGTGCATCAGGCACTATAGGGGGAAGAAGAAACTATCTTGCCCATAGTTTTCATTCCACTGGTAGACAGACAGCGTTGGATACAACCCAGTGTATTTCATTTTAGTATATCCAGTTTGGTTATGCCATTTGTTAACCATACCACAAGTCCAGAGTGCATCTTAAGAATACTTTTAATAAATAAAAATAAATGATCCAAGTGTGGAACAGACATGCTAATAATGAGCAATGAAAATAATAAACATTCTGTTTATCAATATCCTGAATATTTTACTTAACATTATGTTTTGCATATGTGCTACCAAACTTAAGTAATCAGTATGGAGGAAAGCCAAAGGAGTGGGATTTCAACAGAACAGCCTTCTTCCAGGAAGAAATTCATAGATCAACTAATTCTAGATTAACACAGGAGTTGGTAGAATCATTAACGCTAAGATGAAGCCAATATCTTAGAAAACTGATCAGACTAGGACCATCAAAAAATTAAAAACTATTTCCAAATTAAATAGTTTTACAACACACTTTGAAGCCAATAAAGTTCCTCTAAGGAATGCTGTCTGCAGTCTTTCAGTGGAGTATAAAGTCAAGATACATTCATTTCTGTTGTAAATGACTAAAAAATGACTAACCACATTTTTCCAAATAAAACTATAGCTCAATAAAAATACCATGCTTTATGCATGCTACATGCAAGTCCATAAAAACAAAACTCCTGATTCAAATTTAGATTTATAATGGATGCATGACCTATTCTAACCCATGTTACATAAACTCTCCCTGGAAAAGAATTACTGCAGATACCTAAACTTGTCTGCAGTTGGTAAGCTGTAACCTTAGTCATAAGGCTTTGCCAACAACAGTAAACTGTAGGACTAATGCAGTGGCATATAAATTCAATAAATACTATTCTTATCGTATACTTACGACAACCAGCCTCATCTGAATGATCATTGCAGTCAAAGACACCATCACATTGGTAATAAATCTTAATGCACTGGTCTCCACTTGCACATTTAAATTCAGTGGAACTACAGTTGTAGACTACAATTAAAAAAACAAGTTAGATTTCATATTTTAGGGGCAAGATTTTAAACAGCTTCTTAATAGTTGCACCACAGAGTGAGAACATAAAAGAAAGTGATTATAAGGAAGCATGTGTATCTGAGCATACTAAAGAACAAGCTGCATGACTGAAACTTTGCATCAATTCTTTCCTCTTCCTGAATATGGGAAGATCAAATGAGGTCCAGCCAAATCTGGCTGAAGCTGATGGATACTGAAGTCACCCACATCAAATTGGAGAATGGTTTAAATAGTCAGGAGGTAAGTCCTGTATTTTAAAAAATTATAGTTCAATCCTAACTAGTGAGATCTAACACTAACACCTGTTTCTGTCTTTTAGTACTCTTCAGAAGATGTGGGTTAATTGCTAGTATTTCCATTTTCCAAAAAACTGAAGCAATTTTTCCACCTAAGGCCACCCACTGAGCCACTGGATGAATTATGATTTGAACCCAACTCCTAACTCAAACACTACCATGTTACTTTATTACAAGTTACTGTGCACTTTCCTCCAATTAAGTTGTGTGTGTGCATATGTGTGTATTTTAAAACACTGATTCGTTGCAATACTGGCAAAGCAGAGTCTTACAAAATCATCCCATAACTGATTTCCTATAAGTAGGTATGGGGTGGTTTGATACTTAACTGCAATCATGTTCATCTGCTCCATCTACACAATCCTTGTCACCATCACAAACATAAAACGGATCTATGCACCTGTGATCAGGACACTGGAACTGACCAGGTTCACATGTCTGTGTGAAAGCTATAAAGACAACATAAACAAATGAACTCCAACTTAATGTTTCTTCCTGACCCACTACAATACACACATTTTGCAAAGCACTGCAGTGTTGCATTTCATATAACACAATCCTAAGTATATTTACTCTGAAGTAAAATTGTGCTGCAATAAATTGGATAAGCCAGTGTAAGTACTGATGGTATGGACACTCCATTTGTTTTATCAAGTTCTGCCACCCTCTAAGGGTTTGTTTAAAAGACAAACAAGCAGATTGCTGCTAGTATTTGTACAATTTTTAGTGCTGGGAAGTAAATGGAAAAGTTATGCAAGTTTATTGACTGGGATATCATACCCCCCACTGGAGTAAACTAGGACTCCCATAAGCTGAGCACCCCAGTTTAGCCACCATCAAAAGACCAGGAGGAGCCTGGACCATTGGGGCTGAAGGTCCATCCTCACTTGGAGGGAAAACTGTCTCTGAGGCAGGGGCTGAGTAACCACCATCCCCTAAGTGCATTGCAAAAGGTGGGTTGTCATGCTGTTTGAGTGTGTCCTTAAGTTCAACGGAAATGACTCCAGCCACTGCTCTATAGGAGCTCTGCAAAGAGAAAACAAAAGCAGCTGCCTTGAAGACCCAAAGAAACAAAACGGTAGGTGAAAATGTAAAAACAAAACAAAAGACTATGATGAACAATTTTTAACAAAAGTGTTGCCATGGAAAAGCAAGTTCTTTGGGGGATATATTTATTTCCTCCCCTTCAAAAAAAAAGCCCATCAAAAACAAAAGAATGGTTCATCCAGCAAGACAAGTGCATTAAAAGAGATGCATATTTGTGGTATATTTCTATCAGCCTGGCCAAATGTCAGTAAGGGTATGCTTCTGTAATTAATTAATGCTGCTGCATGTTTCACCTCTCCTTTCTTCTTAGCCACTGATAACACCCCACCAAAAGAAGCACAGGCAATTGTAGGGCCTAGGTCGAAGATCCCTGTCCACAAACAAACAAAAAAGAAAAACAGACTCCTGATGAAGACCTGTGCCCAAACTCACTGCAGTTCTTTTCATCCGATCCATCTTCACAGTCGTTGTCTGTATCACATAGCCATATTCTGGGAATGCATTTGCTGTTATCACAGGTGAACAAGGTTGCAGGGCACGATGTAGGGCCCTGTGTGGGGCAGTGAAGTTCATCACTGTTGTCAAGACAGTCATTGTGTTTATCACATTGCCACCGTCTGGGAATGCACTGGCCATTTCTACAGGTAAAGGCTGAGGCAGCACAAGAGATGTCTGAACAAGATACAGAAGGTTGAAAATTAGACAAGAGTATCACCAGAAGCAGCCTTTGGTACTTGTAAAGTACAATCCTATACGTGTCTATGCAAAGGTGAACCCAACTGACTTTAAGGGTTCTACTTCCACTACTGCATCTTAACAACTTCTACTTAGTGTAACTCTATGTAAGGGCTTTGGTTCCTCCCGCCCCCACTGTAACATCCAATGAGGCTTAAATTGGATGAAAAGCATGCCTTGCTTTTTCCAGGCTACAGCAAAATGACTACAACAAGGCGTCAAAGAGTTGCCCAGGTTCACAAGGTTTGACTCATTGCTTACATGGAGAGGAAAACGACATGTATGCCTCATTTTCTGAACAGTAAGTTGCCCTTTGTAATTAAGTGAATTCACTGCATATAAGGAATTTAGCTCACAAATGCAGTAGTATCTACAAATTGCATCGCAAAGGTTTCTATAACCCCAAAATTGTTGCTGGACTTATTAAGTAATATTAAGGAATCTAAAAACCAAGGATTAGATTTAAAGTCCGACAAGATGAAAAAGAGAGAGAAACTATTATAGTACCTAATAGCCAATTATATTATTATACAGCTGGCTTGGTTTGGATTACACATTGGATTATAAATCCTAATGAAAGATTACTGAAATTGGAAAGAGCAGATTTGGAAGAAGGAAAAAATGATTGCTTGTGGGTTAAGGAATCAATCAAATAAGTAACATAAAACAGTAGCCATGTATCAGAGAAAGTTTAATAAGAATTTGGTATTTTATAACCTTCTAATTTCTCTTCTGTTATCTCCAATAAATGCATATTATGATATTCATTTAAGGAAAAGCAATGATTTTATAATATATGGAGGTATGATTGATCAATAAGGACGAATCAAGCCTTGGCAAAAACTAAAAGATGAAGGAAAAAAGATAGGATGGCTTCTTTACCACCAATTGGTTTCCAGAGTGAAAAGGGAAATTCAGACAGGAAATAGCATTATAAGAGACCTGGTGGAATTTGAGAAGTTGATAGCATAGCAAAAATGCCACCTATTAGGACAAATTTATAAGCAATTATTCCAATATGTTACTGAAATTGAACAGGTTAAAATATGTATGGTAAGTTGGATGCAGAATTTTGAGGAAGAAGTTATCTTTCCATCAATGGGAAACTTTATGAATCAAGGATATAAAATTTACACCTAGTCAAGCAGTAAGAGAACAATGGTAAAAGCTTTCTTTTGTTGGTATATTACACTAAAGAATATTGAGAAAATGGATGAGAATTACAATGGAAAGCACTAAAAAATATAAAGAAGTGGATGGGACTTTTTACCATATGTCATGGATCTGTAATAAAGTTTTAAAATTATGGAAATACATACAGAAATACATAAAAAATGAAAATTAACTTTCCTATGAATGCTAAGAATATGCTACTTGAGTATTGTACCAGAAACTCTTGTTAAGGGATATGGTAGAATTATTTAAATATATGATAACAGCAGATAGAGTTATAATTGCATTAAAATGAAAAGCAGAAGACTATCCAACTTAAGAAGACTGGAACTATAAGCTAGCTGAATATGAAGTAATGGTAAAACTAACTAGTTTCATAAATACAAGGCCAGCTGAAGAATTTAATGATAAATGGAAAAACTATTGTATGCAATTTACATAACAGAGCTTGTAAAAATATCACCAGTGAGTTATAATTTTAAGACAAATGCTTTGTTATTTAAAATCAGTTTAAAAGAAATGGAAAATAAGTCAGTATGAAGAATTATAAATTAGAATAATTTTTCTATAAGTTTCAATTAAGTACTGATTAATTTAACTTAATGTAGAAGAGATAACAGACTCTTTGTGAAATTTTTTGATCCTGATAGCATATGTAAAAGCAGGTTGCTTACCTGTAACTGATGTTCTTCGAGTGGCCATCTGTGCATTCACTCATACGGGTGCTGCACCTGCGCAGTGCCTAGGCCGGAAGATTAGAAAGCTAACGGTTTTTGGCGGGAAACTCCGCTCCACTCCCCCTCCATAGTATACATAGAGTGGAATGACCGCCATTTTCTTCAGTCTTGAAGACCACATCTTGAATGCACAGATGGCCACTCGAAGAACATCAGTTACAGGTAAGCAACTTGCTTTTCTTCATCGTGGCGTCTGTGCATCACACATATGGGTGATTAGCAAGCTTACTAGACTGGGAGGAGGGAGGTGTTGTTAACAAAGAATAGCTGAGAGAACTGCTCTGCCAAAGGAGCAATCTTGTCTGGCGTGTACATCAAGCCAATAATGCTTGGCAGATATCTTGGATCGGAACCCCTGCGGTGAAGGCAGATGAAGCCGCTACTGCTCGTGTAGAATGACCTCTCGGAGACACAGGTAAGTCCATCTTCGCTAACCGATATGCCAGTAGTCTGAACAATCCATTTGGACAGTCTTTGAGACGTGACTGGAGAGCCTTTGTCATGCTCAGAGTATTTAATGAAGAGTCTATTAGAACGCCTGAAGGATTCTGTACGAGATCTGTAAAATGCCAAACAGTGTTGAACATTGAGAGTGTGAAGAGATTTTTCAATTGGATTCGATGGTGATGGAAAGAACGCAGGCAAAACAATCTCTTGATTCATATGAAACGATGTAGCCACTTTAGATAAGAATGTCGAATCCATTCGAAGAACGACATTTTCCTTATGAAAATTCAAATACGGTGAATCTATTCGAAGAGCACAAAGTTCACTAGCTCTTCGGGCTGATGTGACGGCTACAAGGAAAGCAGTCTTCCAAGATACTAGGCATAAATCAACAGTTGCCAGAGGTTCAAACGGAGGCTTAGTAAGCGCTTGGAGTACTACGGAAAGACTCCATATCGGCATAACAGGATGAATGGAAGGGTGAAGGTTCTGCAGTCCCTTGATGAAGCGCCTAACCATAGGCTGGGAGAAAACAGATGAGCCTTGTACAGTGCCACGGTAATGTGATATGGCAGCTGTGTAAACTTTTATAGATGACGGTTTAAGTCCTGAACGATGCAATTCCAAGAGAAATTGTAGAATGCTTTCAACAGAAGCCAGTCCAGGAGCAAAGGAATGGCATTCAGCAAAAGATGAGAATCTCCTCCATTTGGCCACATAAGAGCGACGCTTTGACGGTCTTAGAGTAGATTTAAGAATTGCCTGAATGTCTGGATCCAAAACTATCGGTCCCGAAGCAATTCTTGTCAGGTCCGAGGAAGGACACGGGTGTACTGTTCCTTGAGCTGGGTTTTCCGATGCTCAGGATATAGTCGGTACCGGGTCAGTAGTAAAAATCAGCGGATGCGCCAAGCCGTCAACTTTAGAGAGGTTAAGTCCGGGTGTCGGATCACCCCGTTCTGTTGAGTTAACAGATGAGGAATAGTTGGGAGACGAAGAAATATGCTGTTTGACAGTCGGAGGAGAGTGGTGAACCACGGTTGCCTCGGCCACCAAGGAGTTATTAGTATACCTGTAGCGTTGTCTTGGACTATCTTCGAGACAACTCTCGTCAAAAGTGGAATTGGGGGAAAAGCGTAAAAAGTCATGTTGTTCCATGGAATCATGAGAACATCACCTGCTGACCCTTGTCCGATGCCCACCCTGGAGCAAAACAGTTCGCAAACCTTGTTCTCCTGGGTGGCGAACAAGTCCATGTCCAGGAATCCCCATAGGTGGAAGAGCTGTTCACAAAGGTGTCGGTCCAACTCCCACTCGTGAGTTGTCGACATGTGTCTGCTCAGCGCATCGGCTTCTTCGCTATCAGTTCCCGCTAGGTGAACCACCAACAGCATTATGTCCCTCAGAATACACCAGTCCCAAATATTCATCGAGAGACGAGCCAGAGCAGGTGACCTTGTCCCGCCTTGTTTGTTGATGTAAAATACAGCAGCAATGCTGTCAGATGTGATCTTGACGTCGAAGGACATTCTCAAAATATCTGAGAGTGTTGAAGATCGCCAGAAGTTCAAGGAAATTGATGTGTTTCTTCGCTTCCTGCCGGTTCCAAGTGCCCTGGACACAAAGTCCCACACACACAGCACCCCATCCGATGAGGGATGCATCGGTGTATAAGGTTACTGTCGGTTGAGGCAGCCAGAATGGAACGCCAATAGTCAAATGGTCTGGGGCAGTCCACCAGGTCATGGTACGTAGGATCGACAGCGGAATCCGGATTAACTTGCTGGGAGGATCCCACAGCGGATGAAATGACTTGTTGAAAAACAGCTGCAGGGGCCGAAGTCAGAGTCTGGTGTACAGAACGATGGAAACTGCGGCAGCCATGTGTCCTAGAAGCCGCTGGATGGTAATAGCCTATACTGTCCTGTCCTGTCGAATCCGATGGATATGTGTACAGAGATTGTCTCGACGGTTCAGAAGGAGAAATGCCCTCTCTAGAGTAGAGTCGTGCTCCAATAAAATTGATCACCTGCGTAGGAACAAGGGACGATTTTTCATGGTTAATACAAAGTCCAAAATCATCTAGTAAAACACAAGTTTTGTGCACAGCTGACAGGAGACTGTCTCTAGCCTGGGAGACAATAAGCCAATCGTCCAGGTATGGGTATACTTGGATATCCTGAAGCCATAAGTATGCACACACCGGAGCCATGCACTTCATGAAGACTCTTGGAGCGGTGGCCAAGCCGAATGGCAGGACATTGAACTCGAATATATCGGATCCGACTGTGAAACATAGAAAGCGTTTGTGAGAAGGATGAATTGAAATATGAAAATAAGCATCCTTTAAGTCCAGTGAGACGAACCAATCCTCTCTCCTCAGCAACGGAAGGATATTTTGTAAGGTGGTCATCCAAAAATTTTAGGTTTGATATCCCTGTTAACATTTTGCAAGTCCAGGATAGGACGGAAACCATCATCCCGTTTTGGGACTGTAAAATATCTCGAATAGAATTTGTGTAGCCCCTCAGAACGAGAGAGCTGTCGAATTGCTCCTTTACAAAGTCGTTGACAGACTTTGTCTCGTAGCACTGAAGAGCAAGGTGTAAATCAGATCGGGCTCGACAGAGGAACGATGTCGAATTCTATTCTGTATCCGAGCTGAATGATGAACAAAACCCACCGATCAGATGTGACAGACTCCCAAATGGGGAGTCGGCTTTGGAGCCGGCCCCCAAAAGGGAGAGGGAAAGGTGGGAGGTGGAGAGATGGTAGGGTTCGCTGGGCCAGTCAGCATTGACGCTTCTCTGTATCGATACGCCAACGGCCCTGAGGGAAGCATTGTTGCGGCTGTTGCCTTCTACGTTGCTGTCTTTGTTGGTATTGCTGCCTAGGTTGGAATTGTTGACGGTAGGAAAGGCGGGACCATGACCACTTATGCCTCTGGTGTGGAAGCTCCATGTGACGTGACGTCATGCGCAATTCATGTATTGACTTGAGTTTGAGATCAGTCTTGGCATGGAAGAGCCCGGTCCCATCAAACGGCATCTCTTCTATTCTTCTTTTCATTTCCTCCGGGAAATTGCAATTCCTCAGCCAGGCATGCCACTGGAGGGAAATGGCACTGACCAGGGCCCTAGAGTCAGTGTCCACATGGTGCCTTGCAGTGGAGAGCTGTTGAATAGCCACTTGCATTGCCTCCTTTATGAACACTCTAGCCAACTCCGCTTGGTGGTCCGGAAGGGAGGAAGCGACGTTTTCCAACTTCTGCATTATGAAGTATTGGTAGCGTGCAAGTGTCACTTCATAATTCGATATGCGAAGGCTGAGCCCAGAGGCCGCACAGACCCAGCGCGCGAGCATATCGATCTTCCTCCCTTCTTTATCGCAGGGAGCTGTATGGCCCCTCGATTCCCTGCCCTGGGACAACTCAACTGCCACCGAGTTCGGTTTGGGATGACGTAGAAGGAACGGTATGTCCTCGTCCCGAACCCAGTACATGGCCTCGTACCAGCGGGACATGGCCTGTGGCTGAGCCGGTTGGTCCCAGGGCTGGACCATCACCTGGCGAAGTGGAGTAATAAGGGGCAAAGCGATGGCTGCAGATGGCTTGCCCCTGACTATGTCATAAAATTTATCAGTGGTGGGACCGGGGCGATGGTGAGCCTCGATCTTCAGTGACCGAACCAGAAGAGGTATGAGCTCTCTGAAGGTGATGTGGGGCTCATCCGGAGACCCCGGGCCTTGGTAGGTAACGGTCACATCGGGAGATGTGGAGTCCACCTCTGACTCATCCGAAACTTCTTGGTAGCGATAATGCTCACTGGATGAGGAGGTCTCTGGGGAAGTTGGGTGTCTTCTCTGTGCACGGCCCAACGTGGATGGTGCCCCCCTCGGGACCGATGGTGACGGACGGTCCCATGGATAGTAGCCGAACGAGTGGTATTCACCCCAACCTGTGAAACCACCATAGCTGGGTTGGTCCCATTCATCAAATTGCCATTCGGCGGAATGGCTTCGGCGCTGAGGCGGAGAAGGGGATTTCGCGGGTGGTCTGGCTGGAGGCATCGGGGTCAGAGAGCGCTCCCTTGGTGGGGAATCTCGAATTTCTCCATCCAATATAGACTCCCGAAGCGGAGCCTCCCGTCTTCGGGGCAACGCGCTCTCAGGCCGAGCAACTGGCTTGGGGGATCCCAGCAGAGTCACCTGCTTTGCCGACTGCAGGGCCGGTCCCGATGGGGTCGGTACAATAGTGAAGGTCGGTACCGAAAACCCCGATGAACCCGAACCACGATGCTTGGAGTGGTCGGGTTTTTTTCCTTTGTGGGTCGGCTTGTCCACCTTGTCTTTCCTCACCTTTCTATGACCGGAAGACTTATCGGATCCGGTATGCTTACGCTTCTCCCGTTGTTTAGTTGGGGGAGAAGGTAGCCGTTGGACCTCCACTGAAGTAGTGCCTTCATCCAAAGGATGCTGTGGAGGCGCAGCAGAGGCCGAGACAGGGCGCTTAGAAGGCGCGGCAGTGGCAGAGGCGCAGCGCTGAGGTGGCGCGGCCAAAGTGGAGCCAGGTTTTAAGACCGGCTGGTCTGACTGCATCAGGGCCTGGTCCCAGAGCAGTTTGCAGAGACGATTCTCCCAGTTCTTCCTGGCCTGCTTGGTGAAGGCCAAGCAATGGCCACATTTATCGGTCCTATGCCCTTTGTTGAGGCAGAAAAGGCATAGGTCGTGTGGGGACATCTTGGAGTCGCACTCAATACATTTGCGAAAGGCCGCTCGCTGCGCCATCGTGAAAGAGAAGGAGAAGATAGTGCAGAGGGCAAAGTAATAATATTTTTGGGTTTTTTGTTTTGTTTTGTTTTTTAAGTAAGAAAGAAAGTTTTCATAACAGGGAAGAGAAAAACTTGGAATGTAAGGAGATATAAGGAGATATATAGAGAACTATGAGAAAAACGAACAAAAAGAGCAAAGATCAATGCGAGAGACGAACAGGCACGAGGCACAGTGAACGGCGGTCGCAAAGACAGAAGAAAATTGCGGTCACTCCATTCTATATATACTATGGAGGGGGAGGGGAGCAGAGTTTCCCGCCAAAAACTGTTAGCTTTCTAATCTTCCAGCCTAGGCATTGCACAGGCGCAGCACCCATATGTGTGATGCACAGAGGCCACGACGAAGAATATTTGTGTAAGATACCTTGGAATCCTTTACCTTGGCCCCATGAATGCCCATAAAAGCCCACTGTAGGTTGATACTGTTATTTTTGCTATTTTTTTACAATGTAAGAATTCCAGTGCTTCCATGCAAGCATATACAATGCAATTAAAGATCTATTTCTATCCATAAAACAAAAAAGATGCCATTTTCTGCCATGCAAATGCTACTTACTTAGGGAACCACAGTTTTGTTCATCGCTGTTGTCATGGCAATCATCCACACCATCACAACGATAGACCCTGGGTACACACCTTCCATTACCACAGGAAAAGGAGTATGAACCACACTGTAAAGTGGGGGGCTCATTGGATGGATCTTCCACACAGGTCAGTTGATTAGAACTCAGCTTCATTCCGTAGGGGCAGCCACAAACTCTCTGAAAATTGGGTACTGGAAAGCAGAAGTGGCTACAGTCTCCATTGGGATTTGTTGCTCTGTTACAGAAGTTAGTACCTTCAAAAATATCATGAAAGTTATATATACACACACGTTTACATTTGTTAGACCATGGAAACAATTCAAACAACCTTCTTGATAAAGCCTTATTAGAAGCTAGAAAAGACAAAATGAAAACTATGGGCACAATCCTGCCCAAGTTAAATAATTTAAGCTGACCTGAAGGAGAGAGAAGGATGTGCCTATGTAATGCTGCAAACATTTATCTGGAAGTAAATGCCACTGAAACCCATGGCACTTATTCTGATTCTGCTGCCATTCTCTCCCACTGAAATTAATGGGATTCAGAGACTAACATTTGGATGAACTGCTTTCAAAAAGATTAGCATTATCTCACAAAAGTTATTCAAGCCACATTACTAGACTTTAATGTACTTCCTTGCTTTAGTTGAATAATGTGAATTTAAGGACTAAATCAATCCCACATTATCTATTGCAACCCTCTACAAGTGTCTTCTCTCCCAACCACCTTACTCAAGTACCTCCCCATAACCTGTCTAGAAGATTATAGAGTGCTATAAGCAGACATGAAAAATGAATCACAGATGAAAGAACACCTATCACTGCTCTAACACTTCTGACCCTTTGAACACTACCACTGAAATCCCATTTCCCCCAAGGCCGATAGTACAGAAATAGGAAAGATAGGCTCATACTTAGGACGAAGCCCACCTTCACATGAGCAGAATTTGAGTCCTATGGCAGGACTTTCCCACCCTCTCCTCCTTCCTTCACCATACCCTGTATGGCTCCAGTGAAGCTGCTCAAAGTGTCTCCTAACTCTGTGGAGCAGTTTGAGGATGAAGAAGGGGCTGCAGTGGGGAGGGAAAATACCTCCCTCCCCATTCCAGTAATGGAAACAGTTCCACCAGCGGAGGGACTTAATCAGATACCACCCACAGTATCCCATTTTATTGCTTTATTGCACTCATGCATTTGTAGCAGTATATTTAGCAGTTCTCATTCACAATTACATGCAGAGCAATTCTTCTACAGACAATTGAACTGTAGCAGTATTGATTGTGTGAGGCACAGAAATATACACTTCCTCACTATCATACCAAACAGCCCTCAAAGTGTGCATATACTTGAAAATGGAATTACAAGTGTCTCCTAAACCGGATCCTTCAATATACATTTACTCATTTACTTATTTATGGCTTTCAATCTGTCTAGTAACAAGTGTTTACTTGACAGATTACAAACCTGCTTATACATACTTGTGTAAATAAAATAGGTAAGCTTACCTATTTGAGAATGAGCGTTATATGCTTTCACATGCATGATGTTACTGATTCCTCTCCTGATAATAGTCATTTCTCCTCCATCAGACTTCCGAACTCGAACTATTCCACCAAGCCTCCAATCAGTAAAGTATGCATAACCTAAAACCCCACCCCAAAAAGAACTTTTTTCAGGGGTCATTATTCTACATGAACAAAAAAGTGCCAATATCCCTGAGCCAACTGGATTCCTGGGGGACAAGGCTATCCACAGCTACCAGTTCTGACGGCTATATGCTACCTCCAGCCTATGCACACCAGTTTCTTGGGAACTAGGGCAGAGGAGTGCTGCTGCGCTCATCTCCTGTTTGTGGGTTCCTTTGGGCAGCTGGTTGACCACTGCGAGAACAGAATGCTAGATTAGATGGATCCCTGATCTGATCCAGCAGTGCTCTTAAGTATAAAGTCTTCTTGTTTGGTGATGCCCCTGAAAATCCTTGAGGACATGCAATGAGTATATTACATGGGATTTCTGAACTGCTCCCCAAGTTTAATTTTCTGTATTCACAGTTTTAAAAGACATGTCTAAACCCAGGCAGAAAATGGCCAAAGTGAGAGCTGTAGTGACACTGTGACTATTTCTTTACATTACATACTCACCTCCAAAGATAGTGAGACCAAATGGATGTGTCATCTGATTAATGCGTTCAAGTGATTTCCTATCAAGCCCATCAAAGGTACTGTGCTCAATTTTATCAAAGAAGGCATCCACCCAATAAAGCCTCAAGGAACTGGGAAAAAATGATAAAGTTTTATTCAAATATTTACAGGTAGTTACTTGCAGCAGCAACCAATTGAGGCTTTGCACTGAAGAACATTACCATCCAACCTCTGGTGGAAGTTCAGAAAGCACAGACTCTATTAGAGCTGTACCAAACATTCTCTGGTGATCAGCTGGTATGAAACTAGTATTTTGGAGGAGATGCAATGTTTTGTAACTCCCAAGGTGTTTTGTAACTCCCAAATCATGTGGACACAAGGTGATATATCAGTTGCGGAGGGCTTCTTTCTTTCAAAGTAGTCTTTTTCCTAGGAAGTGGTCCACATGATGTAAGTGAAATCATGTTCCTAAAAGACTAACCAGTTACAGAACCTTGCAGGGGTACTTGCCTATTTTGACTTTTTCCATGTTTGTTGTGTTACAACCTGGCAATGAAATGGGATTAATTGGGATTGCTACCACTTGATATATGTTGTTGTTGTTTAGCAAAGTCGTGTCCAACCCATCATGACCCCATGGACAACATTCCTCCATGCTCTCCTATCCTCCACCATCCCCCAGAGTCCACCAAAGTTCACACCAACTGCTTCAGTGACTTCATCTAGCCACCTCATCCACTGCCGTCCCCTTCTTTTGCCATCAATTGTTCCCAGCATAAGGGTCTTCTTCAGTGTGTCCTTCCTTCTCATTAGGTGGCCAAAGTATTTGAGTTTCGCAGAGTACTTAATGCTGTGAATGTTGGTTGCATAAGTATTCTCGCTGCCGAGTCAGAACTCCTAGACAATACTAGAAGCAAATTTGGCACAAATCACAGGTGTGAGTCTTCTGGGTAAGTCTCTATCAGCTTTGCACATCTGGATCCTCCAATGTTTGCCTATTCTTCCTGGTAAAATTGCTCCAGCTCTGTCAGGTTGGATGGAGACCATTAGTAAACAGAAACACTCAAGTCTTGCCACAGATACTCAATCAGATTGAACGTTGTTCTAAAGCATTTTTGTTTTAAACCTCTCCAGTGTTACTTTGGCTGTGTGTTTACATTGTCCTGCTGGTTGGTGAACCTCTGCCTAGGTTCAGGTCCCTAGCAGATAGAAACAGGTTTTGCTCTAGAATTGCTCTGTATGTTTCTGTCCATTTTGCCCTCAATGCTGACCTGTTTCCCAGTCCTTGCACCACCGCAACATTATGCTAGCATCAATATGTTTCCCCAGGGAAATGAACTTCACAAGGCAATGAGCACTGTTGACTTTGAGTCACACAGAGCATTCTCCAATAAATCCAGAAAGTTCAATTATCATCTTACCTGACTAGAGAATCTTTCCCCACATTTGTTGTGCCTTCTACATGCCTTTTTGCATATTACAAATGGGCATTCATTCCTTTTTATACCATCCAACAGCCAAGGCCCTCTAATTTTAACTTTTGTTAACTGTCCAAACAAAAGTTAAAAGTTACTACTCCTATTATTTTATCATTGCACAGCATTTATATCTCACCCTTCTTCCTCTTGTGAAGAACTCTATTACATAACTCAATTGACAGTCATAGCAAAAACCCTGTGAGGTAGGGTACACAGAATTTGTGACTGGCCCTGAGTCACCCAGTGAGCTTCATAGATGAGTTGGGATTAAAACCCTGATCTTACATGTTACCAGAGCCACACTCTAACAACCAGCAATGGCTTTATTCTCCACACTCTTTAATAAAGCCCAGCTTTGTGAAGTGTTCCAGAGATAGTTGCCCCAGACACTTTCTCCATCTCAGCTGTGGATCTCTGTGATTCCTTCAGAGTCACTGCTGATCTTTTGGCTGCTTCTCGGACTAATGCCCTCCTTACCCAGTCGCTGAGTTCTGATGGACAGTTTTCTCTAGGCAGAGTCACAGTCGTGCCATATTCTTTCCATTTTGCAATTCCAGATTTAACAGTGCTCCAGGGATGTGCAAAGTTTAGGAAATGTTTTTAATAACACAATTCTGGAGCTTCTACACAACTTTATCCCAGAGTTGGTTTGGTAGCCCTCTGTCTTCGTGAAGATTTTTTTTAAGATTTGTTCTCCAACAAACTTTGAGGTCTCCCAGAAATAGGTACTTCTGGTACCATGTGGCAATAGAATTTCCCATTAGTGGACTCCATTCCACTGAGGCAGTAGTTACACCAGAGCTTATTTTGGCATGTCATAGCAGAGGAAAGGAATACTTTTGCAACCTACAATTGCCAGCTTATTTTCACATACTTTGTTTTCACATACATATTTCACACACTTTTTGTGCTACAGCAAGCATATTTTGCACCTTCTCAGGGTTCAGTGCCTTATGTGCTTTAAAGTGGTGAATGGAATCCATTTTTGTTCCAAGTTGTAACACAGCAAAATGTGGAAAAATCAAAGGAGGCGAAATATTGTGAGGCACTGTACATAATAATGCCACAAAGTCCATCAGAGTGAGGGTTATGCTTTATGGATTACCACCGCCTTCAGGTCAAGTTGGAGAACACTTTTGCTCTGCTTTTACAGCACCCCTTGGGAAAGATACCACTGAAAGGAAGTGATTTTGCAGTTGATGAAGGGTTCAAGGAAATATCACCCTCGCTCCCACATTTGAAACTTAGTCCTAATTACAAATATAAACCATTTTTCAGAATTGTATTTCAGAGGATCTTTAAATCTGAAAGGGAAAAACCTAAAATAATGAAATCCTTAGAAGAAAATGATTAGCATTCTGATGGAACCAATACATGTCTTGTTGCATTTGCTGTAGTATGAAAATATTCCTGCATATCCTCTGATAGTTGAACATCTACTGGAAAACTGCTCATTTTGATTTTCTTTCTAACCTCCAATCAATGGCCAAGCCATTGGGCCAACCAAGTGTGGTGTTTACAATTGGTAAGGCGTGGGATCCATCGCTCCAAGCTCTCACAATCTTAGCAGGGCGGAACCAGTCTGTCCAAAATATGTATCTGAAAAGTAAAAAGAAAATACACTGAAAGGATAAATGATCAAAATGCTAGTATTATGCTCCCAAGTTCCAAAGTGCCATTAATGTAAATTGCCCAATACCCAAATCAAAAGTTGTTATTTAATGCCATTTTGATGTGTATTTGCAGAGGGGGAGCATTGTCACAAACTTAGTCTAGAGATTTTAGGCATAACAATGTATTCTTCATGCTTTTGATCATCCTCTGACCATATTTATTAAATGGTTATCTTGTTTTTTTCATTTTTTTATCTTTGTCAGATGGACATTAATAGAACTGAACCCTAAATATATAAATACAATGCCTTCAAATAGCAGGAACCATATTCCTTCACAACTCTCCTTAAGAATTTAATAAAATTGATTAATTGTCACTAAATAAAGGTATTATGTTAATTTAAAAATCATAGCAATTGTACAACATAAAGTCATTTTTCTGCAAACATGAGCCTTCACTCTCCATCCCATATAAATACCAATAAACAAGGTATTTATTGTTTTCTGTTACTAAATTCTTAATAGTAAGTAAGGAAAACACACAACGGACATAGAAAGAAATATCTTCCATAGAAAAATCAAGGTTGTACAACATTAAAAAGGGAGTTTTCATTAGACTCTTAGCCCAGAGTGGATGGGAATTGACACCTATCAACCTCCTGCTCAGAAGAGATCCTCAATGCCACTTGTGTATAAACCATGGTAATACCACCTGCACTTGAATCACATTCTGAAATTACTTATTTTTCCTCTACAGGGCAGAAGCACCAGCTTAGAATTTGTCCCTTAGAACTGAATGCTGGAAACTGAGTACGCAAGACATGCTTGAACACTCTTCAAAAGAAGCTTTTTGGGCAGATAACACTGTACTGATAACAGTTACTCTTGGGCTGCAATTAACTATTCTCCAATCCCCCACCGAATGCCCCCCAAAGAACAAACATTTCTTGCTTTTTATAGATAATTCTCCTGAATACCTGTTTTGTGTTGATTTTGTACCACCCTGTGTTTTGCTCTGGATGTTGTAATTGGTGCCAGGGGAAGGGGGAGAAAAGCTTGAATCAAGTAAAACATTTCAGATAGGAAAAGAGGCTCTCCAACTGAACATTTCAGGACATACCAAAAATACAAAATCCTTTTTTGTTTTAAGGCAGGTTTGAGATTGAGAGCCAGTATGGTATAGTGGCTAAGAGCACCAGACTGGGACTCTGGATTCTAGTCACCACACAGTCATGGAGCTCACTGGGTGACTTTGGGCCAGACACAGACGCTCAGCTCAGCCTACCTCACATGGTGGCTGTTGAGAAAACAAGAATGAGAGGAGGAGAATTTTGTAAACCACCTTGTGTTTATTGGGAGGAAAAAGAGTAGAATAGAAATATAATAAGTAATTACATGCATGCCGATTCAGAATATTGTATTGTATCACTGCCTTGGAACTTCAAAAAGCAGGAAGAGAATCACATATCTAAATATACATGCATATTTTTAAAAACATATAAAGCACTAGCACATAGCATTACATCCTTACACAGACACAGAGATCCTCCTCTTATACTCTACATAGGAAGCACTGCAGGAAGGGTGTATCATGTGACATTTTGGAACACGCAGTTCAGCTCAGACTTACCCAATAACAGGATGAACCACTATTGAACGAGGGTTATTCAGATTCTGGACAATGGCTCTTCTTGATCGGTCAGCCAGCCTCATCACACTAATGCTTCTATATCGAGGGTCTGTCCAGTAGATATTCTTTGAAATCCAGTCAAAAGCCAAGTCTTCAACTCCTTCCACTCTGTTGGATGCAAGAATTTCCCTGCCTGGTATTTCAAAATAGATAAAAATATACCAAACAAGGAATGGGATACTTTTTCATAAAGTATATGTCAAAAACAGAACTGGTTACTTCCTCACTTTTTTAAATTTAAGCCTAACATATTAAAATGTGTGGCAATTTAACCACTCCTCCTGTACCAGAGGAGCCCATGAAGACAGGCAGTGGCTCAGCAACTGCAAGCACATTCTGAGTGCAGAAGGTCCCAGGTCTTGCCCCTGTCATTTTCCAAGAACATACGGAAAGCCCTGCTGGGGTAGAATAAGGCCCACCTAGTCCAGAATTCTGTTCATTCAATGTCCAATCACCCATCCACATGTTTCCACAAGCAGTTGCACCCTCCTATACAAGTTCCTCCACAACAGGTACGTAATAATGTGGACTGCCTCTGATTTAGGAGCCATCAGAACTAGTAGTTATTCTTAGCTTTCTCCTCTACAAATATTTCAATCTCCTTTTAAAGCCATCCAAACTGGTGGCCATCACTATATCTTATGGAAGTAACTTCCAGAGTTTAACTGTGTGCTTTGTAAAGAAGCACTTCCTTTAATCTGTCCAAAATCTCCCACAAATCAGCTTCATGGGATGACCCTGGGTTGTAGCTTTATAAAAGAAGAATGAAAATGCTTTCCTCTCTACTTTCCATGTATAACTGTATGCTGCTCTACCAAGTCTCGTCTTTTTCCTAACCTAAACCATCTCAGCTGTTGTAACCTTTCCTCACAGAGGAGTTGCTCCAACACCTTGATAATTTCGGTTGCCCTTTTTGCAACTTTACAATATTCTCTTTCTTGGCGTGGTGACCAGAATTGTACCCACTATTCTGTGTGTGGTTCCACCATAGATCTTTATAAGGACAATTTGACATTGGAAATTTTACTTTCAGTGCCTTTCCTAATGATACCTAATGTGGAGTTTGCCAATTTCACAGCAGTCATGCATTGGATCAACTTTTTCAGCTTGGGCTGCCTACCATATCTCAAAAATAGCTTCCTTAGTCACTCACTGCCAGCTCAGATATCATCAGCTTATATTTGAAGCTGAATTTGTGCCCTAGCATATATTACTTTACATAGGCTTAGGGTGAACCACATTTACCATTTTGGTGTTCTTCACAATCCCTGTTGGTTTCAACCACCCTGAACAGTTTGCTACCCTCAGCAAATGTGACCCCACTGCTCACTCCTAATTCCAGATCATTTATGCATTAAGTTAAAAGCACTGGTCCTCAGTCAGATCCCTGGGGGACCCTACTCTTTACATCGCTCCATTAGGAGAAATTATCATTTATTCCTACTCTCTGCTTTCTATTTTCTAACTAGCTATTATTTAACTGATCCATAAGAGGACCTCCCTTTTTATTCCATGACTTTATCAAATTTCTTTTGGATGCCAATGCAAACAATGTCTACTAAATAATCCTTATTGATGCTCTCAAAGTATTGTATAAGTAAAACGGGACAGGAATTACTCTGCAAATATGATGTTGATTCTTTGTTTACTCTGCAAATGTTTTCCCCCATCTCTGTTCTGTTAAAAGGAATTGATTTTGCAAGGTTGAGAAAGACCTCATGTCACAGTCCTCAGCAGTTGTGCTAATTGTCCGATTCTGAATATGGCACCTTCATATGTGAAGATAACAAACTAATTGCAGTGGAGTTTCTCAGAGTGCCTTCCTAAATTACTGAGAAATTGCTGCTGCTTCTCCTCCCTTTGGTTATCCAGCAGAGAAGTGGATACTTTCAACAATTGCCAAGTATCAGCCTGGTTCTCATGTAACAATAATGTGGAGACACTGAGCAAACAAACAATGTCTGGTAAACAAACCAGATGTTTTCTGTCTGTGCTTTGCTTACTGTGATGTAAGAACTAGGACCAATGACTTGTCTTTCCATGGATGAACCAGAATTATAAGTCATATTCTTGGCCTATATCTCTGGATTCTCTGGGAAGAAACAAAACGTTCACACATCAAAGTAGGCCACTTCCACTTACAGTAGGAATGATCAGGCAGTGCACACAAGCAATCAGTGCTACATGGTAATTATATATCGATTATCATCATTTTTCCACATCAGTTGAAGAGATACTAAGATAGATAAATCAAGAAATTAAAACTGAAGAGATTTATGTCTTACCTGTCCCGTCTGTTTTTTGCTTATAAATAATGTCCTTTGTGGTATCTGAATAGAAGATGGTGTCCTCCTGTGCATAGAAGTCAATTCCAACAAAGTAAGAAGGGCTCCCTGTCACAGGAATGATCACATCTTCCTGGGTGGAAAGGTTGAATGGGATTCCACGCACAGCTAGCTGTGATGAGAATAGCAAAAACTGTTGCACAGCTACAGGAGAAAAGAGCAAAAATAAGCATTTACTTGCACTATGACCCTAATGAACTTAAAATAATACATTTTAAAATTAGCATGCAAAATTAACTGAGAGAAGATGAGAATAGTTGTGATCCATTCAAAAACACAATACTGATAAAAGATACAAAGATTAGAATGCATCATATATTGTACAGAAACTTAAGACAAGTCAGGTCTGAACGCATGCGTGTCTGCTAGATGGGAGATGCCCTGAAAAATGTATTTACTATTACAATGAATTCCAAAATGAAAGAAAGGTGGGACATAAATGTGATAAAGGTTACCTCCAGCCATGGAATTTTGTTTTCTATAGGTGACAGCAGAACCCAACCACAATCCCTAAAAATCCTCTAAAAAATCTGATTTTACTGAACTGTACAGTAGTACCTTGGCTCACGAACACCTTGGTTCACAACCAAATTGGGTCGCGAACAAAAATTTCATGAAAATATTGATGCGGGTCGCGAACACCACATTGGGTGGTGACCAAGATCACAGCCATCTCCCCCCCGCCCCCCCCGAGTAGGGAGATGGCCACGATTGTTCTGGGGGCAGGGGGGGATATGGACGAGATTGCACCCGCCTTTCCTGTAGCAGCGCGCCCGTGACTGCGCCCAGCTTTCCTGCAGGAGCGCAACCACGATCTCGGCCATCTCCACCCCCTGCCAGCACTATCACGCCCGTCTCCACCCCCCCCAGCGCACCCCGTTTGCACCCGTCTCTCTCTCCACCAGTGTGCCCGCGATCACACCCGTCTCTCCCCCTCCCCAGCGTGCCGGGAAGACGGATGTGTGCAGGGATGACAAACGCGATCTCGGTCGGTCTGGGGGAGGCAGAGAGATAGCCGCACTTGTGCTCGGGGTGGGGAGGGGGAGATGGCCGCAATCTTTGTTGTCGTCACTTTGCTTCACATTTTTCTGATTTAAAAAAAATGGTTACAGAACAGATTAAGCTTCTTTACATTGAACCTTATGGGGAAATGTAACTTGGCTCACAACCAATTTGGGTCATGACCAGAGTCCTGGAACAGATTATGTTCGTGAGCCAAGATACCACTGTATATTCCGTAAAATCTTCTGATCGTCTTGTATTGAGCAAAATTATTTGAGAGATTACAATTCTTGTACAAATAAAATTATCCAATGGAACAGGATAATACTTATCCAGTTACTCCACAGTAATAGGTATCATCTTTGAAACGTGAGATTAGGAACTTTCTACATGAGCTATTTATTGAATGCATATAATGTCTTACTCACAGTTGTTTAAGAGTTATTTAGATGACATTGTGACTCTCCAGTTTTGTTTCTCTTTCTAAAGAACACTTTTGTAGTGGGCATTTAGTGCAGGGGAAATGATTATTCATGAAAGCAAAAGAAAAGTTCTTTCCTGCTTGTGCAATGTGCAGTTCATGAAAGCAAAAGAAAAGCACATTACCACTTGGAGGCTATGTAGCAGAAAAGCAGAAAAAGGGAATTCAGATCTCCATTCTCCAACAAAACTGAAGGTAGAAACAGTAGATTGACAGTCTTGTATAGATTTTAGCTTCTGACTGTGTGCTTGAACAAAACGATCCTCCCACCCTACCCTATGCAGCACAACAACAAAACATAAAGGAATCTGCCAATGAAAGCTTGTTGGCAAACGGAGCTAAAGAGTGGAACCTGCAGCAAGATTTTGCAGCATGGTGCTCTTGTTCTGGGTTCCAGCCAATCAGACATGATTTCTTCCACGATATTTTATTCCATTACCATCCTGGTTTTCTATCCTCTCCTCCCACTGACAGTCAGTATTCCATGCCAAGTATACTCATTCCTCCTTGGGCTGCTTTGAGAATTTTTGACCCTAAAGAATTTTCCCCTGAAGGATTCTTCATACTCATGCAAATTTCCATGTACCCCTAAGTTGATACCGCCACCATAGATGGTCTCATTTTTACTATTTAAGAGAATATGCTCACTAGGTCAGTCCAGATAGGAATTCTGTATGGCCTATTATATAATATTGCCACAAGGGACTGTGTATACATTATACTGTACTCCTAAAGCCCAACATGAGGCCAGTTGCACAATTATACTGTACACCTTTGTACATGAGAGAGATTTCCAGAGTGCTGTGTGTCTCATGGTTAACATCTAAAGGAAGAGGCATGACTGTTAATGTACTAGATACTCTGTGTGTGTGTGTGTGTGTGTGTGTGTGTGTGTGTGTGTGTGTACACACATACACACCCTCCTGTCCCTTGAGAACTGAAGCAGAGGTCCTGCTCCAGGAGCCATCCTTGAAGGAGATTAAAAGGGTGAGTACCTGGAGGAGAGCCATCTCCATGGTGGCGGCCCGACTATGGAACACGCTCCCCTGAGAGGTTCACCTGGTGCTGACGTTGTATTCTTTTCAGCATCAGGCAAAACCCTTTTTATTTTCCCACTATTTTAATGTTTAATTGATTTTAACTGGGGTTTTAGTATATCTATTGTCAGATGCTGTAGTGATTGCTTCATTCTACTCATTTTTGTACACCGTCTCCAAGATGTTTGTAGTGGACAGGTTAAAAAAGCTTTTAATAAATCAATCAATCAATACACATTGGACCCAAGCTTGGAACCTAGAATAGGCTGCATGTATGGGTGGCCGATGTGACGGTAGCTGTGGTTACAGCTTCCACCACACAGAGCCCTTCTGGGGACTGAAGAGAACATGCACATCACCCATACAGTGCGATGGGATGGTTCCACATGCATTTTGTGGCTTCCCATAGCACTGCAGAGCAGCAGAAAAGCATGTATGTAGTGAAACTAAGGAGAAAGCGCAACCAAGAGATAAAATGAGTCCTTACCGATGCAGTGTCGCCCATCTGGGTGCAAGTCGAACCCCAGCATGCATTTGCAACGATAGCCAAGACCATCATTGTCTGTTTTGTGGCTGAGGACACAGATTTGCTCACACCCACCATTATTACCACCACAAGGGTTTCTTACTGAAAAATAAATAAATAACAAGCTTACTAATATCATATTTTAACTCCCTGTTTTTAATTTCATCAGCACTTTTCATCTAACTCCACACAGAACAAGTGCAAATGGCAACTGTTCTAATTGTAAAAGTTGTTGTGTTTCACTTCAAAAACAGTTAGCATTTTCAACTCTCATTCAGTCCATCTGAATTTTAGAACAGTTCAAGATTTACTTGGTACATTGTAGTCTTCAGAGTGTGGTCTGCATTTTTTTTCATGCCCAAGCTATTTTATTTTTCTATATGTTATATGCCTTATCTTCTGCTCTTTTCTCCCTTGTCCCTGCCCCAGGAACAGGGCAGATCTCTCTTTCCTTGAGTTTGAACCAAATGCTTGCAGAAGTCTTTCAAAATTAGGCCAGGGTTGCAAGCACTGTTTTTAATTTCACAAATTTCACTTAGGACTGTTGGTGCTCACCTTTATTATATGCCAAATATATTTCTCTTTCATTGATCCCAAAGAGAAAGTCAAGCCAGCTTAAAACAGTAAGGGCTAAATTACTTAACTGGCTGGATCACCAATACACTTCATGCCCACAGCGTAACTATCTCACACTGCACAAAGTTGTAAAACCATCACTCTGCTCTAGCCAACATAGAAATAGTTCCTCAACCCTTAAGAGTAGGTAGGATAGTCATCAAAAAACTACAAAATGGTTCGTATATAAAAATTATTTTTAAAAATGTCAACCATTTTTGGATGTTATTCTATTTAGGGAGATTACAGATACCTCAAGTTAGTGACAATGTATATTTCATTGACTGGCTAAGTTACAAAGCATTGACTCCTGTTGTCTACACTCTAGACTACATGATCTACACTCTGGCTCCCATGATCACTGACCCTTGTCCATGTACTGCTCTAAAGAAATCCTTTTGTGAAGGAGTGCACCATGTATGCAGTACTGCACACAATGACCTCCTGAAAGCATGATAACCACTGCCAGGTTTAAAGCAATGATCCCCTGGAAAAAGGGAACCTAGAATTAATCTTCGATCTATCTGTGCCTCAAATAAATGAGAGATGATGCCAGAGATGCCAGTGCTTGTGACAGAAGCCAAGTTTGCACAAGACATTAAACCAGGGAACTTCTCTTGATCAACACAAGGTCCATTCACTCTTCCCTCAGTCAAAGCTGCTACATGTGCATTCTCTCCTGTGTTGCTCCCCAATTTCCAGAGTACCTTCTCCAATATAAACCATCTCTCTGAAAGGATTCCTTTATATCTACTAGATTGTATTCAATTAATTAAAACATTAATCACAGTTTCCCCTAATCCTTTAAGCTTTTGTTTCAGTTTTATTGAAATGTGCAATAAAAATTAATAGACAAAAATGAATACCAAAATGAGCAACACATTGGCACATCCCATGCCTAGCCATTCACATCACATAATCATTACAACTTTTGTATAGCAGAACACCCTGTAGAGCGTTCCAGAGTACCCCCTCATTTTAATTCAGTGAGTTTAAGGAGGTGGTCTCTTTGAGGCTTCTCATAGGACTTACCATATGGCTGCCTGAGAGGGTGATAAATTGTCACTCCATATGGACGCAAGGAAGATTGATAAATAACTTGCGGGCTAGACTCCTCAAATTTATTCGCTTTCATCACTGCCATCTTTGTCCAGTCAGTAAAATACACATTATGTTCAAAAAGGCTTATTCCATATGGATGTGGAATCAATGATCCTCCATGGGCTATTGTTCTCCTGTTTTTGAGTCAAAGGGGGAATTTTTCAATATTGAAAGCAATGGTTTCTAGACCCCAAATTAATAAAGTACATTTCATCTGTATTAAAGAGACTACACAAGTGGTTTATCAGTGGTTCTATGTACACTGATCAACAAAAAAAAAACAAACATTAAAAAGGAAGGATACCTGGATGAGGTATCAAGGACAAAGGTTTAAAGAAGGTTTGCAGAAAGGCAAGACATATACTTACATTTTTGTTAAAAGTTATGTAATGTAACATAAGAAAACATAGTAAAAGTTATGTTAAAGTATGGTGAAAAATAAAAGGCTCAAACCAACAAAAGCAATTTAATTTTTTAAACTTTGTAATTGATTCTAGCATTAACCATAAAGCAAGGCTACATGTCAGAAGAAAAGCTATTCTGGTACATCCAAATGGACTGGTACTAAACCTGAAAATTGTATTTATCAGGATATGTTATATCTACTAAATCGTTCCTTTTACCATACACTTAACAAACAAGTGTTGCTTTCCTGAAAGAATGCTACACATTTTTACCTTCTTCCAATGAGTAACAGCTTTTTTATCTTGGAGAAAGATTATTCTATTGGCATTCTTGGCTCACTAATGGTGGAAATGGCACTGAAAACTCCAGATTACAAAGCAAAACAAAGATAGCAGCAACATTTTATAGAAGCCTTCACTTGTAAATAAAAGTACTGTGATTCCTCGGCTCACGAACCCCAGTTCATGACCAAATCGGGTCACAAACATAAATTTCAGAAAAATTTTGCCTCAGGTCATGAACTCCACATCAGGTGACGGTTGCAATCGAATCCATCTTCCATGCACGAGTGCGAACATGCTCGGGGGGGGGGGATGGCCAGGATCATGCCCGGGGGGGGGGGGGGGGTTCGGGACCGGGGCCAAAAGTTTTCTGAAATCCCTGCGTGCGACCCGAGGTCGCCATGTAAGGCGGT